CAAGTCTTTTGTGTCTGTGTCCGTTAGTGTAATTTGTCTCGATTGGAATAGGTTGTTTGATGGTTTGTTTGTGATTTTAATTTTGTATATTCCCACAGGCCCGTCCACCCAGGCCTCTGGTGGCCAAGAGACCTCGCAGCAACGTGGGCCTGGAGAGCAGCCCTGAACAGTAAGACCACCAAGCTACACTATACACATCCTCAAATCACCCATCTTCATCACTATCATCATCATCATCATCATCATCACAGAGTTCGTAATAAGCTACACACTTACCGAGGTCTGCAACTACAACAAATTGTTTTAGTTTTCATTTGGACAGGGTTCTCCAACTCCAGTCCTGGATAGATACTGGGGGTGCAGGCTTTTGCTCAAGCCCTGCAGTAATCCAAAAATGAAGAAGACAATTAGTTGATTATTTGGAATCAGGTCTATTAGTGATGGGTAAGAACAAAAATCTGCGAACACAGTAACATTTCTGGACTGGAGTTGGAGAACCCTGTCCTATACTAATAATGAACAGCTACACCCACTACCATGTTATAGACACGTACACATACACTCAATCTACATACACACTACCAGATACACACCATGATATCCCTGGAAATCCTCTATGTTGGTACTCAGCCCCACAGTCCCAGGAGCCTGTATGAGAGCTCCTGAGGTCTAGTGTAGCATGAAGCTAACCATTCAGAGTTAGCCAATTACACCTCAGGGTTTTCTGTGTTTTCAGTTAATCTAGTGTATGTTTGTGATGTAACTGGGAGAAAGGTTCAATCAAATATGCCTTGAGTTTTTAGGCTGGGCTTGGCCAATAGATTAACGAAGCTGCAACAATCTAAGTGTGTTATTCAAAAGTTATGGAAAAGCTTATTTGGTTTTATCATATGCATATGATAAGGTTTTGTACACTGCTTGATTGAAGACCCACAGACTATACCTCACTCACGTTTGTAAAGTCTACAGATGTTTGCTGCCCTCTTTTGGCCTATGAAAATAAGTTGTTGGATTGGTCTGATTTTACCAATGAAGAAAAATGTCACAGGCCAAGACTGAGCTTTTGTGTGGCCTTTCTGAAACCATCTCTCTTTCCATCTTATTCAATCATCGCTCCATTTCTCACACCTTATTGAAAAACAAAGAAATCATTCGATCAAATTAAAGTGTTCTGTTCTATATCTATCAGTCATACATAAAATATTTTTTTAAAGATACAATTTCACACAAAATCATCTGAAATACAAAAACTGATTCCACTACAACTTTCTTTCTATTTGGGGTATATCTTGTCTTCGCTCAAGAAGAAGAGAGGGAAGAGAGAGGGGGGGAGTAGAGATAGGAAGAGAGGAGTAGAGAGCGGAGGAGAGAGAGAGAGGAGAGAAGAGAGAGAGAGAGAGAGAGATTAAGAGAGAGAGAGAGAAGAGAAAGAAGGTAGAGCAGGGAGGTCGATCCTAGAGGGCGCGAGGGTATCATGATAGATATGTCTCTCGCTCTGGTCTGCGCGCAGATGGTGCTGTCTCTAGCGGCGAATAGAGATAGAGCGCTACCTCTCTCTCTCTGGGAGATCGATCTATATGTTATCTAGATGTATCTCGCGCTAGCTGGTGAGCTAGAGGAGAGTTCTAGAGAATAGAAGAGAGAGAGAGGAGAGGAGAGAGAGAGAGCGAGAGGGAGAAGAGAGCAAGAGAAGACGAAAAAGGCCAATATATATGTAGATGTTATCTATGGTAGGTATATCTATATTATAGGATCATCGGTCCTTATGTCATCGTGTCTCTCTATCTCTCTCATATCTCTCTATACGATTCTCGCGACGAAATCATATCTGTATATATCTCTATCTACGATCACGCATTCTCTGTCTATCTGCTAGCTATTATATGGTAGAGATAAAGAACGCTTTATCTGGATATGTATATAGAGATGATGTATGTATGTTCTGTAGGGTATGTGTCGGTAGGGAGGGAGGTAGGGATGCTCTGGATCTGTCTCTCTATCATAGTAGAGAGTAGAGCAAGAAGAGAGAGGAGAGAGAGAAAAGAAGAGAGAGAAGAGAGAGAGAGAGAGAGAGAGAGGAAGAGAGAGAGAGAGAGGGAGCGAGAAAGAAAAGAGAGATAGAGAGAGTAAAGAAGAAGAGAGAAGGAGAGAGAGAGATAAGGAGAGGAGAGAAGAAAGAAAGAGAGGAGACGAGAAAGAAGAGAGCAGAGCAGACAGAAAGGAAGAGAAGAGAAAGAAGAGAGAGAGAGAAGAGAGAGAGAAGAAGAAGAGAGAGCGGGGGAAGAAAGTAGAGAGGAGAAGAAGTAGAGAGAGAAAGACGAAGAGAGGAGCGAAAGAAGACGAGAGAAAGAGAGAGAGAGAGGAAAGAATAGAGAGAGAGAAAGAAGAGAGAGAAGAACAGAAGAAGAGAGAGAAAGACAGAGAGAGAGCGGAAGAGAGAGAGAAAGTAAGAGAGAGAGAGGGAGAAAGAGAAGGAGAAAGAAGCGAGAGAGAAGAACGAGAAGAGAGAGAGAGATGAAAGAAGAGATGGAAACAGGAAGAGGGAGAGAATAAGAAGCAGAGAGAGAGAAAGAAGAGAGAGATGAAAGGAAGAGAGAGAGAAAGAAAAAGTAGACGAGCAAAGGGAAAGAGAGAGAGAAAGAAGAGAGAGAGAAGCAGAAGAGAGAGAAAGAAAGAGAGAAAGGAAGGAGAGAGAAAGAAAGAGAGAAGAGAAAGAAGAGAGAGGAGCACGAATAGAGAGAGAAAGAAGAGAGAAGAGAAAGAAGAGAGAAGAAGAAGAGAGAGAGTAAAGAGACAAGAGAGAGAGACAAGGAAGACGAGAGAGAGAGAGAGAAGGAAGAGGCGAGAAAGAAGAGAGAGAGAGAAGAAGAAAAGAGAGAGAGAAAGAAGAGAGAGAGAAAAAAAGAAGAGAGAGAAAGAAGACGAGAGAGAGAGAAAGATGAAAGAGAGATGAGAACGAAGAGAGAAGAGAAAGAGAGAGAGAGAGAAAGAACGAGAGAGAGAGTAGAGCGAGAAGAAGAGAAGCGAGAGAGGAAAGAAGAGAGAGAGAAAAGAAGAGAGGGAGAAAGAGAGAGAGAAAGGAGAGAGAGATGGAGCAACGAAGAGAGAAAGAGAGAAGAGAGAAAGAATAGAGAGAGAGAGAAAGGAAGAGAGAGAAAGAAGAGAAGAGAGAGAGAAGAGAAAAAGAGAGATGAAAGAAGAGAGAGAGAATAGACGAGGAGAGAGAAGGAAGAGCAAGAAAGAAGAGAGCGAGCAAGAAGAAGAGAAAGAAGAGAAGAGAGAAAGAAGAGAGAGAGAGAAGAGAGAGAGAGAAGGAAGAGAGAAGAGGAAGAGTAGAGGAGAAGAGGAGCAGAAAGCAAGCGAGGAGAGAAAGAATGAGAGAGAGAAGAAGAGAGGAGGGAGAAAGAAGGAGAGCGAGAAAGGAAGAGAGAGAGGGAAAAGAAAAGGAGATAGAGAGAGAGAGAAAGAAAGAGGAGAAAGAAGAGAGATAGGAGAAAAATGAGAGCGGAGAGAAAGAAGAGAGAGAGAAAGAAGGCGAGAGAGAGAGGAAGCAGCGGAGAGAAGAAGAGAGAGAGAGAGAAAGCAGAGAGGAGAAAGAAGAGAGAGAGGGAGAACCGAAGAGAAGAGAGAAAGAATGAGAGAGAGAGAGCGAGAAAGAAGAGAGAGAGATAAGACGAGAGGGGAGAAAGAAGAGAGAAAAGAAGAGAGAGAGAAAGAAAAGAGAGAGAGATAGAGATAGATAGAAAGAAGAGAGAGAGAAAGACGAGAGAGAGAATAGGAGAGCGAGACGAGAGAAAGAAGAGAGAGAGAAGAAAGAGAGCAGAAGAAAGAGAGAGAAGAGAAAGGAAGAGAGCGAGAAAGAAGAAGAGAGAGAAGGACGAGAAGAGAAAGCAGAGGAGAGAGAACGAAGAGAGAGAAGAAGAGAGAGAGAAAGCACAGAGAGAGAGAGAGAGAGACGAGAAAAGAAGAGAGAGAGAAAGAAGAGAGAGAGGAAGAAGAGAGCGGAGAAAGAAGAGAGAGAGTAAAGAATGAGAGAGAGCAGAAAGAAGAGAGCGAAAGCAGAGAGGAGAGAAAGAAGAAGCGAAAGAAAAGGAAGAGAGAGAGAAAGAAGAGAGAGAGAAAGAAGAGATAGAGACGAAGGAGAAGAGGAAACGAAGAGAGAGAAATGAAGAGAGAGAGAAAGAAGAGAGAGAGAGAGAGAGAAAGAAAGAGAGAGAGGAATCGGAAGAGAGAGAGAAAAGCAAGAAGAGAGAGAAAGAAGATCAGAGCGAGAGGAGAAAGAAGAGAGAGAGAGAGAGAGAGAGAGAGAGAGAGGAGAAAAGAAGAGAGGAGAGAAAGTAAGAGAGAGAGAGAGAAAGAAGAGAGGAGAAAGGAGAGAGAGCAGAAAGAAAGAGAGAGAGAGAAAGAAGAGAGAGAAAAGAAGAGAGAGAAAGGACGAGAGAGGAGCGAAAGGAGAGGAGAGACAGAAGGAAGAGAGAGAGAATAGTGAGACGAGAAGAGAGAGAGAGAAAATGAAGAGAGAGAGAAAGAGAAAGCGACAGAAAGAGAGAGAGGAGAGGAGAGAGAAAAAGAGAGAATAAAGAGAGAAAAGAACGAGCTCAAATAAATCAGCTCTCATATAAATAAAGCTGTCGCAATCACTCATATATCTCTATCCCCTCCTCTATATAAATCATCTATAGTCTCTATCCATCATACTCTAATATATATCTAACGACGCTCTCTCTCTCTCTCCCTTCCTCTCTCTCTCCTCCCCTCCTCTCTCTCTCTCTCTTGCTGCTCTGTGTGGGATATGGGGTATCTCTTTATCTCCTTCCTTTTCTATCTCTGTTGTTCCCTTTCTCTCTCTCTCTCTACTTATCTACCTCCCCCAGTTGTGGCCGTCCCACACGTCACTACACAGTCTTTCTGTCCGAGGACTCATCAGGCGACGAGCTGCAGCACGAAGACGACTCCATCGCCGGCTTCCCCGAGAACTTTCTCTTCTCCGCCCCTTTCGAATGGTCTCCCCTGTACGCTGCACTCCTACCTATGATAATGCACTCACTTCATTGTGTAGTGCTTCTTTGATTGGCTTGTCTCCGCCCGGCTCGATGCATGATTGGGCGGCTGATCCGCCACTCTTCCAATGTTTTTTCTTTAATTGATTTCCGATTGGCTGAACACTTTTTCTGCTGTCTGCATTATGTTTTGTGGTCCATCTCTCAAATGGTTTTTTGCCCCACTGCCAGCAAACATTTTTATCTGCTGCAATAGTAGCTTATCATGTAGCAGGCCTCAGTCAGGCAAGTGTAGAGACAGCATTTAAAGGAAAGATTCACCCATTTTGAATGTTATATTGTTTTTGTGCATCTCTGAGCGACGTTCTATTGATTCCCGGGATATTTCATGTTTCATGTGTATCTGAGCTATTGCCGTTCAAGCATAACATCGCTCAGAGATGCACAAAAACGATATAACATAAAAAATGGGTGAATCTTTCCTTTAAGTTAATCTATGTGCCGGGACTATAACAGTGTAACTGCTAGAGCATCCTGTCAACAGTTTACTGTACTGCATGTGACAATATTAATTATGTGCAACTGTGTGTGCAGCAGTGCACACAAGCATGTAACTAATGAAATCATTTGTCCGACAGGCCGCCTCCTTACCGCTCACTGAAGGAGGCGGAGGAGGGGGAGGAGCCCATCAGCGGCTCCTCCTACACGGCCCCGCCCAGCCCGGTGATGGAGAAGTTTGCTGACATCAACCTGCTGGGGGACATGTTCAGCTGCTTGGACGAGCCCGAGGGACAGCAACTCAGCCTGGCCAAGAGTCTGGAGGACCTCCGCCCGCCCAAAGACCCCCAGGAGCAGCAGAAATCCACCTACCAGGTACCAGAGGGCACGTGGCATGTGGTGGCTACAAACCTGGATCAAATATCTATTTCAGGGGTCTGAAACTCCCGGTTTGCATGCCAAATAACGGCCCACGAGCCGGTTAAAAAAATTGTTAGACTTCCGTCCAATATCTATACTCATGTTACGTTACACAGCACTTGATAGTACTGGTTATCAGCTGTTTTGTTCTCTTGTTTCTTCCCTTTGTAGCGGATGGACCTGAGTGGCACCCTCCCAGGCCTCAAGCACTCCAACCCCTACAACAAGATGTGGAGCATGCATGGGCAGGATGATATGGCCGTGGCCGGCCGGGTGTCTCCGAACTGGAACCGACCCCTGTCCGTGCCCCCCCCTGACCTGGAAGAGCCACGGCCCCCTAGCCGAGAGAGCTTCGGTCCCGGGGTCCCCGAGCGGCCGGATCCCTTCACCACCCCCAGCCAAGGGGAGTGCATCACCATCCCCCGCCCCCAGGGGAGGAAAACCCCAGAGCCAGGTAAGGTCTTGGGTGCGCCACCGGTTCCCCAGCCCCGGACCAAGCCGTGGGCGGGGGTGGTGGGGGAGGGTGTGACCACCACAGCAGGGGGGCAGGAGTTCCGGCAGGCCCTTGGGATGGGGGGTGACCTGATGCTGCAGCCCACCAAGATGGACTTCAATGAGGGGGAGGATGTGGACCTGCTCAGCCTCCTGGACCCCCTGAACAACCCAGCCCAGACCACCACCACCCCAGCCTTGGCAGGGGAAGGAGCAGACTCCCGGTCCAGTGCCGCCCCTCCATCCTCCAGGCCTGTTCTCCCTCCACGGCCCTACCCTCAGAGCCTGCCCCCCTTCCACCAACACATGCCCCTGAACCCCTTCACCCCGCCCCTCGGCTACTCCACCCATAGACACTACTCGCCCACAGTAGCGGGGAATCCTTTTGGCGGCGGTGCCTACGGGCCTCCCGCCTCCACCTATTTCCACGCCTCCCCCCATGGTCACCCTCCTCACCCTCTCTCTAGAATGCCGGGGCTCTACAGACTGTCGTCCCCCGTGGGGTCCACCCTCCCTCCTGGCATGGGCTCCATGCGGCCTGCCTTTCCCAATCATGGCGGTCCTCCCCCCACCACCTCAGGCAGCCACCACGCTCTCTCCAACCTGTTGGACTCCCCTTCGGCCCCCACCCCTAGCCCCGCCCCTAGGGTACTGCCAAAGCCTCCCAACACTGCAGAGGACTCCATCGAGACTCAGGACCCCTTTGGAGACCTACTGGCCATGGCCAAGCCGGCCGTTGCACCACCTAAAAAGAAGGTGGAGGACCTTCGGGGGAAGTGGGAGACTTTTGACTAAACCCCTTTCCTGACTTTCCACGTATGGGCGTTGTCTTATTCACCCCTTCCCTGCACCAACTTATGCTGCTGACCAATGAGTAACAGAGTCTGTGTGTCAGGCGACCAATCGAGAAGCTGGGTTCCAAGCTGTCCCTTCTACCCCGTTTCCCCCTCTGCTGAATGTCGGAGTTCAAGCCTCACTCTTTCTCTCTCTCTCTCTCTCTCTCTCTCTCTCTCTCTCTCTCTCTCTCTCTCTCTCTCTCTCTCTCTCTCTCTCTTTCTCTCTCTCTCTCTCACTCTCTCGCTCTCTCTCTCTTTCTTGCTCTCTCTCTCTTTCTCTCACCCTCGTCCTTCAGCCAGGAATGGGACTCTCAACCTGGCCTTGCTTCTTTCAGTAAGCTGTATACGCCAACCATACACAGCCCATGCTAGTGCGCTCTTGCACAGTATCCCTTGGTGTTAGCTGTGTGTGTTCAATGCCTTCACTTAGACGTTAGCTTAGCTTAGCTCAAACTGGAAGGCGTGTGGCCTCTAAAACACCTCTTGACTCTATCTTGGGACCCGGCACCAAAAGGCCATCATGTCTCAGAAACCGTCAGAGCCGTGTCTGTTGCTACGATGGTAATGCTAATCCATTAGGGTAGCTAGTAGTCCGCGTGTGTGGATTTCCCAGCTTAGCGGTGTTCTAGTCCGATCTATGGTACATCCCTAACATGCAGTCAGTCCACCCTCAATGTCTTCAGCGGCATCATGTTGAGCAATTTGTTTTTAGAGGAAACACTCGAACGATACATGTTCGCCTGGACTAACTAATGGACCGTTGTCAAATGCACCAGAACATTTTGGCTGAACGGGGTTGGTTGTGGACCTTCAAATGGTTTACGTTATGCCAGTTACAGCAATCTTTCAGGTGAAACTTTTGCTAATTCATTTGTCAAACTTTAAGAACCCATGATTGTAAATTCCTATGTAGTAGGGGAGGAATATAGAACCACCCAATGTTGCGCCAATCATGTTTGCTATTTAAACTCATCCCATGTATTCCCTTTTCCCCTTGTTGATTTTGGCCTTATTCTGAGTGTTATCATGTTTTCTGTGTCTGAGGACAGTGATAATCTACTACTGAGTCACTGGCTGCTTGCTCAGTGTGCTGCTACTATGTGTGCAAGTGTGTAAAGTGTGTACTGACAAAATGGGTACCGTTGTCGGTTGCGATTGCAATCGATTGCCAGTGCGCTTCTGTTTGGATCCGAAATGACTCAAATCAGGACCTAGACCAAGAAGTAAGACGACACTAGTCTGTGACACTATAGGACGTTTGTCCCGACAACTGCTACAAATGAACCCCCACTGCCTTGTGGGTAATCACATCCACAGGGGCTAACATTTGGGAGAACTCCTACATGCTAACGCTAAACGCTAACAGTGTGGTGGAAGATACAGTAAGGCTGTAGAGCAAACTCATGTCAAATGGTGTCTGGAAAATTAAATTGGAACACGTCTTGGTCCTTGCTTTGTGTGTAGAGGGAACAAAATATAATGTACAGTGTATGATTGATTAAAGAGAGATATTAAGTACTGTGTCGGCTAATACTAGAAACATTAAGTAAAGTATCATCTTTTGGAACTCCTCATGTTAATCTAACAGAGTTAGACAATTTCACGTTTTTCTCCTCTCCGGTTACAACAGCTTATGGAGAATGTATTCCATTGAATCTGTGGGATACTTCACAAAATGGGACTAATGAGTTAGCAAGAACTTCAGTAACATTTCAAGTCTTTCTTAGTCAATCCTGAAATGGTTTGCATATATTTCCCCCAGTTTTAGACGATGATTCACCTATACTGCAATATGCATTTATAATATGTACCTTTTAATTGTTTTATTCAAAAAGGTTTGCAAAATAATGCCAAAATACAGACTTTTCTCTGAAGCACGGTGTTAGTGACATTGATTAGCTAGTCATACATTACCCAAGGTGGCGATAATTACAAGTGATTAGTAATAATTTGCTGTCAATATTTACCTGGCTATATCTAGACATCCCTAAGTATTAATTGTATTTATAAGAAACCTTGATTTTACCAGAGCCTACAATCATTAGTACTGCTCTCACCCCTAGTATTCATTCAATAATAATAATAATAATAATACATGCGATTTATATATTGCTTTTCAAGGAACCAAAGTTGTTTAAAAAACAAAAGGTGTTATTTCCACACCCCATGGTTTATATGCACCTTTCTCAGGGGATGTGGTAACTTTTGATTGACAATACACTTAAAGTGTGCTTTAAGAATCTGAGCAATGCATTAAATTACATCTCACTCACACTTGATCAAGACAGTAGCACAGTATTAATTGAATCACTGAACATTCAGTGACAACAGTCTTTGCCTTACCGTCAAGGATACTCCATTATGTTTTAATCCATATCTACATCGGGCAAAAGTCCTTGGTGTGTCTATTTATTGCTGATGTAGATGGTGTCCATAACTCCACCTCCCCTCCACATCCCCCTCCGTTCTCAAAGAATGTTTCCTGTAGAAATGTGATGATCTTTTTTTATACAACTGACACTTCTTTTTAGTTAGGATACATTATTTTCTGTTTCTTTTCCTCATTTGTGTATCTCACGATTATAAAGAACACAGTCACACAATCACTGCCTGGCTTCTTTTCATTCACTTCTTTAGCTGGTGGTTATACTAATTCTGATTTGCTTGCTGCTAAAAGTTCACCAAAAGTTCTGTTTCCACTCACGTGTCTGTGACGATACTCTACCCCTCCCCCCTCCCCCCTCGCTCCCTCTCTTCTCTCTATCTCTCTCTATCTCTCTCTATCTCTCTCTTCTCTCTCTATCTCTCTCTCTCTCTCTTCTCTATCTACCTTCTCTCTCTCGCTCCCTCTCTCGCTCGCGCTCTCTTCACTCGCTCGCTCTCTAGCTCAAGTATCGCCGCTCTCCCTCCGCTCGCTCGCTCGAGCCCTGCTCTCTCTCGCTCATCGCTCCTCTCCTCCCTCTTCTCGGCACCCTCTTCGACTTCCGTCTTCGCTCTCTCCCTCATCCTCTCCTCCTCTCGCTCCCTCTCTCCCTTCTCCTACTCTCCCCTTCTCCTACTCGCTCCTTTCTCTTCTCGCTCCTCCCTCCTCTCTCTCTCTCGCTCTCTCTCTCCTCTCTCTCTTCTCGCTCCCTCTCTCTCTCGCTCTCTCTCCTCTCTCCCCCTCTCGCTCTCGCTCGCTCTCTCTCCCTCTCTCTCTCGCCCTCTCTCCCTCTCTCTGCTCACTCTCTCTCGCTTCCTCTCCCTCTCGCTCCGCTCCCTCTCTCCCTCTGCTCCCTCTCCTATCTCTCTCATCCTCTGCCCTCTCTCTCTCCTCACTCTCTCTCTTCTCTACTCCCTCTCTCTCGCTTCCTCTTCTCGCTCCCTCTCTCTCTCTCTCTCCCTCTCGCTCCCTCTCTCTCTCTCTCCTCTCTCGCTCCCCCTCTCTCCCTCTTTCTCTCTCTTATTTTCTAGCCATGTTTCTGTCGGTCACTCTCATTGGATCTGCAGTGTGGTCTGCTTATTGACCACCCTATTCCCTGAAGTCTAAGACTGTAACTATTGCCTCTTCTAAAGACCCTTAGTAGTGTATGTTGGACCTGTGTGTTAATAAATTGAGTTCTAAGAAAGAAAATTTCTTTCTCATTATGTTTCTTTACAGTGGGTTTATTGGCTGTGTGACGTCATTATCCCCGACGCAGATTCTGTTGGCATGTTGACCATTTAGATTCAAATCTTATGAGCGGCAACACCCAGATATAAAGGTAAGGCATTTCCCTCACAAATCGGAACCAACCTAAGTTCAGCAAAGCTAGGCTAAGCTAAAAGCTAAGCTAGCCTAATGAACTGCAAAAGCTCTTGGAAGTTGAAGGGACACTCGAGCAGCTAGAGGTACAGTACCCATCGCCTCATAATTGAAATGTGCTGACTCAGTTTTCCTTATGTCTTTTTTTAACACATTTTTACAGTTCAATAAAAACAAGGTTGTGTTTTTGTAGAATCCTCTATACAGTGCAGTCTTTATTGCATATTTTGAACTCTTGCTTTTTATGCAAAACCTTGTATGAACAGTATCAACATAAGAAATGTCCAGTGTCACTGAAAGTAGAATGTGAAAACAGTGCAAACTAATGCAGATATCGAACAAACCAGCAAAGAACTACAGTCAAATCATTTAAAAACATCATTTACAACAGTAATAGACAAACATTTAGATTTTCCTCAGTATTTAAAAGAACTAGGATACAAGTACAATAGTGTTTTCTCAGTATATAGTTCATATTTGTATCACATTACGTTTCGCTAAAGATTTGATGGAACCCATTCCTCTTATCCTTCAGTTGGGTCTTGCTGTGCCTTGATGTTTGCATTAAGAAACAGTAAACACTTCACTTTTAAGGAAACATTTTCGGACAATACAGTCAAAGTCCAAGTATGACAAATTGTTTGAGAATGTGAGGAGAAGATAAAGGCATAGTGACATTTTGCCTTACTTTCATCATTTCCAGTCACATACTTACAGTACCCTAGCTTTTGGTGAGAGGGACAACTTCAAATAAGGACAGGTAAATATACTGTACTGTGTCTCAGGCTTTAACACAGATATCTGCATCATCAGTTTGTTTAAACGTCATAAAAAATTATTCTAAATCAGAAACTTCTATCCTGTTGTTTCATGGACTAATCTAACTGCTCAGATCCCCGATTGTCTTATCCTCCATTTGTAAACGACAGTCAGCATGCCGCGTTAAGAAGTGTAACACAAAATGAGTGGAAGAACTCCTTTTGTGCATGTGAGGTGCTTAAAATTTAAACTTAAAATCAAACACAAAATCAAACACGTTTGAAAGACCAAAAATATACAAACTATAGTCTCTTCACACAAAAAGAAAATCAGTCATTCATATTTGGGAAGGGAGAGGGATTGTAGAGTCCGACTAAGAACGAGGTCTCACAAGGCTTAATTTATTCCAGAACTGTGTAAACTTGAGTGTGTAGTGGTGCCACAAAACCACATATTGTGACCATGGAGTATAAATTAGTCTTAGGAGCAGAGTTCTGGGGGGGAAGACAGCCATTATGTCCTCAACAGGCAGTGCATTGTCGGGTAGATTTTTTGCTAGTGGTGACTAACGTGGCTTTTTAAAGAAAACCAACCCATTGATTACAGTTGCTTTTGGCCCATAAACTGCTTTCACGGTGCGGAACCATTAAACATTTAGTTGTAAAATACTGAACCTCCCCTTTAAGATTGTTGCCCTACCTTGATCCAAGAAGTGCAAGGCTCTAGTAAGGATGGGGTAAGTGGGTGCCCCCTGTTCATGTACAGTACCAGTCAAAGGTTTGGACACCTACTCATTCCAGGGTTTTTCTTTATTTTTTACTACATTGTAGAATAATAGTGAAGACATCAAACCTATGAAATAACACATATGGAATCATGTACTAACCAAATAATTGTTAAACAAATCATATATTTTATATTTGAGATTCTTCAGAGTAGCCATCCTTTGTCTTGATGACAGCTTTGCACACTCTTGGCATTCTCTCCACCAGCTTCATGAGGTAGTCACCTGAAATGCATTTCAATTAACAGGTGTTGCTTGTTAAAAGTTAATTTGTGGAATTCGCAAAAACCATCAAGAGCTATGATGAAACTGGCTCTGAGGACCGCCACAGGAATGGAAGACCCAGAGTTACCTCTGCTGCAGAGGATACGTTCATTAGAGTTACCAGCCTCAGAAATTGCAGCCCAAATAAATGCTTTACAGAGTTCAAGTAACAGACACATCTCAACATCAACTGTTAAGAGGAGACTGTGTGAATCAGGCCTTCATGGTCAAATTGCTGCAAAGAAACCACTACTAAAGGACACCAATAAGAAGAGACTTGCTTGGGCCAAGAAACACGAGCAATGGACATTAGACCGGTGGAAATCTGTCCTTTGGTCTGATGAGTCCAAATTTGAGATTTTTGGTTCCAACCGGCGTGTCTTTGTGAGACGCAGAGTAGGTGAACGGATTATCTCCGCATGTGTGTTTCCCACCGTGAAGCATGGAAGAGGAGGTGTAATGGTGTGTGGGTGCTTTGCTGGTGACACTGTGATTTATTTAGAATTCAAGGCACACTTAACCAGCATGGCTACCACAGCATTCTGCAGTGATATGCCATCCCATCTGGTTTGCGCTTAGTGGGACTATCATTTGTTTTTTAACAGGACAATGACCCAAAACATCTCCAGGCTGTGTAAGGGCTATTTGACCAAGAAGGAGAGTGATGGAATGCTACATCAGATGACCTGGCCTCCACAATTTCTCGACCTCAACCCAATTGAGATGGTTTGGGATGAGTTGGACCGCAGAGTGAAGGAAAAGCAGCCAACAAGTGCTCAGCATATGTGGGAACTCCTTCAAGACTGTTGGAAAAGCATTCCTCATGAAGCTGGTCCTCATCAAGGCAAAGGGTGGCTACTTTGAAGAATCTCAAATATAAAATACAGTGGGGAAAAAAAGTATTTAGTCAGCCACCAATTGTGCAAGTTCTCCCACTTAAAAAGATGAGAGAGGCCTGTAATTTTCATCATAGGTACACGTCAACTATGACAGACAAATTGAGAGAAAAAAAATCCAGAAAATCACATTGTAGGATTTTTTATGAATTTATTTGCAAATTATGGTGGAAAATAAGTATTTGGTCACCTACAAACAAGCAAGTTTTCTGGCTCTCACAGACCTGTAACTTCTTCTTTAAGAGGCTCCTCTGTCCTCCACTCGTTACCTGTATTAATGGCACCTGTTTGAACTTGTTATCAGTATAAAAGACACCTGTCCACAACCTCAAACAGTCACACTCCAAACTCCACTATTGCCAAGACCAAAGAGCTGTCAAAGGACACCAGAAACAAAATTGTAGACCTGCACCAGGCTGGGAAGACTGAATCTGCAATAGGTAAGCAGCTTGGTTTGAAGAAATCAACTGTGGGAGCAATTATTAGGAAATGGAAGACATACAAGACTACTGATAATCTCCCTCGATCTGGGGCTCCACGCAAGATCTCACCCTGTGGGGTCAAAATTATCACAAGAACGGTGAGCAAAAATCCCAGAACCACACAGGGGGACCTAGTGAATGACCTGCAGAGAGCTGGGACCAAAGTAACAAAGCCTACCATCAGTAACACACTACGCCGCCAGGGACTCAAATCCTGCAGTGCCAGACTTGTCCCCCTGCTTAAGCCAGTACATGTCCAGGCCCGTCTGAAGTTTGCTAGAGTGCATTTGGATGATCCAGAAGAGGATTGGGAGAATGTCATATGGTCAGATGAATCCAAAATAGAACGTTTTGGTAAAAACTCAACTCGTCGTGTTTGGAGGACAAAGAATGCTGAGTTGCTTCCAAAGAACACCATACCTACTGTGAAGCATGGGGGTGGAAACATCATGCTTTGGGGCTGTTTTTCTGCAAAGGGACCAGGACGACTGATCCGTGTAAAGGAAAGAATGAATGGGGCCATGTATCGTGAGATTTTGAGTGAAAACCTCCTTCCATCAGCAAGGGCATTGAAGATGAAACGTGGCTGGGTCTTTCAGTATGACAATGATCCCAAACACACCGCCCGGGCAACGAAGGAGTGGCTTCGTAAGAAGCATTTCAAGGTCCTGGAGTGGCCTAGCCAGTCTCCAGATCTCAACCCCATAGAAAATCTTTGGAGGGAGTTGAAAGTCTGTGTTGCCCAGCGACAGCCCCAAAACATCACTGCTCTAGAGGAGATCTGCATGGAGGAATGGGCCAAAATACCAGCAACTGTGTGTGAAAACCTTGTGAAGACTTACAGAAAACGTTTGACCTGTGTCATTGCCAACAAAGGGTATATAACAAAGTATTGAGAAACTTTTGTTATTGACCAAATACTTATTTTCCACCATAATTTGCAAATAAATTCATTAAAAATCCTACAATGTGATTTTCAGGATTTTTTTTCTCATTTTGTCTGTCATAGTTGACGTGTACCTAAGATGAAAATTACAGGCCTCTCTCATCTTTTTAAGTGGGAGAACTTGCACAATTGGTGGCTGACTAAATCCTTTTTTCCCCCACTGTATATTTTGATTTGTTTAACACTTTTTTGGTTACTACATGATTCCATATGTGTTATTTCATAGTTTTGATGTCTTCACTATTATTCTACAATGTAGAATATAGTAAAAATAAATAAAAACCCTTGAATGAGTTGGTGTGTCCACACTTTTGACTGGTGCTGTATTTCTTAAAAAATAAAAGTCCATCCAGTCCATCTTCCCAACGCTCAGTCCTAGAGCATATGCCAGTGTTACACTGGACTGGAGCCTCCTCTCAGTCTGTGGGAGACAAGCGGTTGTCCTTTGGTCCTTTGACTTCCCCAACCAGGATGCTCCAACTGTCAGTTCTTTACCAACCAACACTCACTGCCCACCCCCACTCCTCCAACTGTCAGTTCTCTACCAACCAACCCTCACTGCCCACCCTCACTCCTTTAACCTCTACTCCCTCCCCAAGATCCTCAAAACCACTCACACATTAGATCAGGCAAACAAAACACAAATACACGGCACCACTGGGCCAGTAACATGTCCATCGGTCCAGCAGGGGGCAGCAGCTCATGTCTTCTTTCCCTGTATCTCCCTCCAGCCAGCTAGACTGACTATACAGAGTATATTGTCTCAAGTGAGTCTCACGCAGCTGCCAGCAGTGCGGTGCTCTCAGATCTGCTTTTGCGGCTTTTTGCGTGACTCTGCCTAGCAACATGTACAGTTCTCGGATCAGCTTTTATGACCCGATCAGATGAGCCGCTCCTCGGGGGGAACCTTGAGCATGCTGTCCATCTCCAGGCGCGCCCCGGCCACCTCCTGAGTGCTGGGGCTGTAGGCGCCCTCTGACTGGCGCTTCTTGCGGGCAGTGAGCACCATGAAGGTGATGCCGATGACAGCCAGCAGGACACAGAGGCACACCAGGGGGATGGCTATCACCAGCCACGGCACCCTCTCTTTCTGGGGCTGTTTCTGCAAGGCGGGAACAATCAAGGAACCAAGGGAGAAACGTCAGTGATGAGTGACTGACTATGGCTAATTCTAAAATGACCTAATGCAACAACAACAACAAATATTCCACGTCATAATAATTATCATGAATAAACCATTATATATCCTTAAATCTTTATAACATTAATAAACGTTGTATAGGTATTTATAAAGGCTCATGCATTGTAAAGATTAAAAAAACGTTATAAATGCTTATGATTTATTATAGATGACAAGTGCAAAATTACTTGGAAGAGAAGGAGTAGAAGAATGAAGAAGTCGAGAGTTCTTACGCTTGTATCGCAGAACAGGCCGCTGTAGCCAGGTAGGCACACACACCAGAACCTGTTGACTCGATCGATACAGGAGCCACCATTCTGACAGGGGTTCGACTCACACTCATCTATCTCCGTTTCACACCTGAGGAGGAAAACACAATAAGGATATTTAAAGTCTAGACCATAGGAAACGTGTGAGATATATATAGATATATTAAATAAATGTTAAATAAAATAAAATAATATATTCTGGTGTCCATCTCTATCACCCCAAGCTGTTTTTTTCTTCAAACGGTGCTACCCTGTAATGCCTGATTTGTAAACAGCTGTATTTTTTCAAATCAAATCAAATCAAATTGTATTGGCCAAATGCGCCGAATACAACAGGTGCAGAAATGACAGTGAAATGCTTACTTACAGCCCTTAACCAACAGTGCATTTATTTTAAATAAAAAAGTAAAACAAGACAACAACCAAAAAGTGTTGAGGAAAAAAAGAGCAGAAGTAAAATAAAATAACAGTAGGGAGGCTATATATACAGGGGGGTACCGGTGCAGAGTCAATGTGCGGGGCACCGGCTAGTTGAGGTAGTTGAAGTAATATGTACATGTGGGTAGAGTTAAAGTGACTATGCATAAATAATTAACAGAGTAGCAGCAATGTAAAAAGATGGAGTGGGGGGGCAGTGCAAATAGTCCGGGTAGCCATGATTAGCTGTTCAGGAGTCTTATGGCTTGGGGGTAGAAGCTGTTGAGAAGTCTTTTGGACCTAGACTTGGCACTCCGGTACCGTTTGTCGTGCGGTAGCAGAGAGAACAGTCTATGACTAGGGTGGCTGGAGTCTTTGACAATTTTGAGGGCCTTTTTCTGACACCGCCTGGTATAGAGGTCCTGGATGGCAGGAAGCTTGGCCACAGTGATGTACTGGGCCGTACGCACTACCCTCTGTTGTGCCTTGCGGTCGGAGGCCAAGCAGTTGCCATACCAGGCGGTGATGCAACCAGTCAGGATGCTCTCGATGGTGCAGCTGTAGAATTTTTTGAGGATCTGAGGACCCATGCCAAATCTTTTCAGTCTCCTGAGGGGGAATAGGCTTTGTCGTGCCCTCTTCACGACTGTCTTGGTGTGTTTGGACCATGATAGTTCGTTGGTGATGTAGGCACCAAGGAACTTGAAACTCTCAACATGTTCCACTACAGCCCCGTCGATGAGAATGGGGGCGTGCTCAGTCCTCTTTTTTTTTTTTTCCTGTAGTCCACATTCATCTCCTTTGTCTTGGTCACGTTGAGGGAGAGGTTGTTATCCTGGCACCACACGGCCAGGTCTCTGACCTCCTCCCTATAGGCTGTCTCATCGTTGTCGGTGATCAGGCCTACCACTGTTGTGTCGTCGGCAAACTTAATGATGGTGTTGCAGTCATGGGTGAACAGGGAGTACAGGAGGGGACTGAGCACGCACCCCTGAGGGGCCCCCGTGTTGAGGATCAGTGTGGCAGATGTGTTGTTACCTACCCTTACCACCTGGGGGCGGCCCGTCAGGAAGTCCAGGATCCAGTTGCAGAGGGAGGTGTTTAGTCCCAGGATCCTTAGCTTAGTGATGAGCTTTGAGGGCACTATGGTGTTGAATGCTGAGCTGTAGTCAATGAATAGCATTCTCACGTAGGTGTTCCTCTTGTCCAGGTGGGAAAGGGCAGTGTGGAGTGCAATAGAGATTGCATCATCTGTGGATCTGTTGGAGCGGTATGCAAATTGGAGTGGGTCTAGGGTTTCTGGGATAATGGTGTTGATGTGAGCCATGACCAGCCTTTCAAAGCACTTACTACAGACGTCAGTGCTACGGGTCGGTAGTCATTTAGGCAGGTTATCTTAGTGTCCTTGGGCACGGGGACTATGGTGGTCTGCTTGAAACATGTTGGTATTACAGACTCAGTCAGGGACATGTTGAAAATGTCAGTGAAGACACTTGCCAGTTGGTCAGCACATGCTCGGAGTACACGTCCTGGTAATCCGTCTGGCCCTGCGGCCTTGTGAATGTTGACCTGCTTAAAAGTCTTACTCACATCGGCTACGGAGAGCGTGATCACATAGTCATCCGGAACAGCTGGTGCTCTCATGCATGCTTCAGTGTTGCTTGCCTCGAAGCGAGCATAGAAGTGGTTTAGCTCGTCTGGTAGGCTTGTGTCACTGGGAAGCTCGCGGCTGTGCTTCCCTTTGTAGTCTGTAATAGTTTTCAAGCCCTGCCACATCCGTCGAGCGTCAGAGCCAGTGTAGTACGATTCAATCTTAGTCCTGTATTGACTCTTTGCCTGTTTGATGGTTCGTCGGAGGGCATAGCGGGATTTCTTATAAGCGTCCGGGTTAGAGTCCCGCTCCTTGAAAGCGGCAGCTCTACCCTTTAGCTCAGTGCGGATGTTTCCTGTAATCCATGGCTTCTGGTTGGGGTATGTACGTACGGTCACTGTGGGGACGACATCATCAATGCACTTATTGATGAAGCCAGTGACTGATGTGGTGTACTCCTCAATGCTATCTGAAGAATCCTGGAACATGTTCCAGTCTGTGCTAGCTAAACAGTCCTGTAGCTTAGCATCTGCGTCAACTGACCACTTTTTTATTAACCGAGTCACTGGTGCTTCCTGCTTTAGTTTTTGCTTATAAGCAGGAATCAGGAGGATAGAGTTATGGTCAGATTTGCCAAATGGAGGGCGAGGGAGAGCTTTGTATGCGTCTCTGTGTGTGGAGTAAAGGTGGTCTAGAGTTTTTTTTCCTCTGGTTGCACATTTAACATTGCACGTGAAATTAGGTAGAACGGATTTAAGTTTCCCTGCATTAAAGTCCCCGGCCACTAGGAGCGCTGCCTCTGGATGAGCGTTTTCCTGTTGACTTATGGCCTTATACAGCTCATTCAGTGCAATCTTAATGCCAGCATTGGTTTGTGGTGGTAAATAGACGGCTATGAAAAATATAGATGAAAACTCTCTTGGTAAATACTGTGGTCTACAGCTTATCATAAGATACTCTACCTCAGGCGAGCAAAACCTTGAGACTTCCTTAGTATTTGATTTTGTGCACCAGCTGTTGTTTACAAATATACACAGACCACCACCCCTTGTCTTACCGGAGTCAGCCGTTCTATCCTGCCGATGTAGCGTATATCCCACCAGCTGTATGTTATCCATGTCGTCGTTCAGCCACGACTCGGTGAAACATAAGATATTACCGTTTTTAATGTCCCGTTGGTAGGATAACCGTAATCTTAGGTCGTCCAATGTATTTTCAAATGATTGAACATTTGCTAATAGGACTGATGGAAGAGGCAGTTTACTCGCTCGCCGTCGGATCCTTACAAGGCACCCCGACCTACGTCCACGATATCTCCGTCTCTTCCTCATGCGAATGACGGGGATTTGGGCCTTGTCGGGTGTCTGTAGGATATCCTTCGCGGCCGCCTCGTTGAAGAAAAATTATTAGTCCAATCCGAGGTGAGTAATCGCTGTCCTGATATCCAGAAGCTCTTTTTGGTTATAAGAGACGATGGCAGAAACATTATGTACAAAATAAATTACAAATAACGCGAAAAACACACATAATAGTACAATTCGTTAGAGGGCTGTAAAACGGCAGCCATCTTCTCCGGCGCCATTTATAATCAGTATTATTTTGTGCATATCAACCATTTTTGTCCCACGCTATTGAGAGGAGCTTCGGGAACGTACCTCTCCCCTGCAAAACCGGGCACACAGGTACAGTTGGCCCCCCACAGTCCGTCATGGCAGATCCCATTTTCACACTGAACATCCTCTTCGCATGTCAGTGGAGGATAAGTCCACCTGTGGGTAATGTACAGAATTACACCTTCACAATGGCGACCCAAAGCCTGTTTTATATTGAAAACTATCCAATGTCCACAATAAGTGTAAGAGTGTAGGGTTCCTGTTCATCAAAAGTATATAATCATGCAACTTATATTTAGAATATCCTAGCTAGATAAAAAATCATCGGAGAATCTGTTGTTCCACATGACAATGATCCCTGGCACTTACTGTGACACTAATTGGTTGGTGTAAACAGAAAGGCTACTCACTGGCAGAGTGGGCCGGTGAAGTCGTCTGTGCACTCACAGGTGTAGCTGTTCACCCAGTCCACGCAGGAGCCCCCGTTCTCACAGCCATGTTCCTCACACTCATTCAGGTCCTCATCGCAAGAAACGCCCCCGTACCCCGGGTCGCACACGCACTCGAAACCTGCCAACTCATCCATGCAGGTGCCGTGGACGCAGGGCCCGGAAGCGCACTCGTCCCCGTCCACCTCGCACTTCTCTCCCTCCCAACCTGGCTCGCAAACGCAGCCAAACTTGTTAAAGAGATCCTTGCACATGGCGCCGTTCTGGCACGGGTCCGAATGGCATACGTCTGCACTCGTACAGCCCATGTGGATCTCCTCGTCGCCCGTTCTGTGGAAGTGGGCAGGCTGTGGCGGGTGTTGGTCGTCCACAAATGGTAGATAGACCCCGTTGACCCTTACGGCGCCCAGGCAGCCTGTGAAGCTCTCGGCGATAGCAACCTCCGCCCCTTCCTCGTTGAGGAAGTGCAGGGCACCTGCCTCCTCAGGGGTGCTGCTGGCGTCGGTGATGCCATCCACGGTGATGACCCAGTGTGACGCCTCGCTGTCCGGGTCGGCCATGGCAATGCTCACGCGGTGCCAACCGCCGTCAGCCACGCGTCGCACGCCGGAGAAGGTCAGCACCTCCACACTGTTGCCGCCGTGGATCTCGACGCGGATAGAGGAGTCCAGCAGTCCCACCAGTAGGAGCTCGGCCCCGTGGGAGGCTCGGAGCAGCACGGCGTTCTCTGAGCGGGTACGGAGCTCCAGGTACACGTGGGTCAGAGGCGAGCCCAGGGAACCCTTTGCACTGTACTGCACCGGGTTGTTCTCGAAGGTAGCGTTGGTCACACCTGAGGGTTAACAAGTGGGTAAGACTTCAGACAAAAACACCACTATTTTGTTTTATTAAAGCTATCTAGTATGCATTTTGTGTGTGCGGGATTTTTCTCTTTCATGCAAAGACAGCTATACACTAAAATAAATTAAAATTGCAATGCTTTTGCAAGAAAGCAATGGTGAAGAAACACTAAGCAGTTTTGCCAGACTTCAGTGATGTTCTTCAAGCTGAGAATTAGTTAAATATTTCCTCACATTCATATCCATCAGTCAGGTCCACACAATGTCCACCATTGACACACGGGTCGCTGACACACCACACACGCGTCTCACAGGTCTTTCCGGTGAAAGCCACGGGACACGAACATACAAAGCCGTTCCAGGTGATGGTGCAGTCTCCTCCATTCTGGCATGGCTTCGGCTTGAGACCAAAACAACATTCAGTGAACATTAAAACATCATTTAGTCCATTTTAATCCAGTCACAAGCAACTGAGTTGTCCTCATTCATTACTGACCATGTCTTTCTATTTCAAGTTAATCTGAATTTTGATACAGTTGACATGTCACATTTACAGCCTACCCCTCATGTCTGTAGTATTTCCTTCTAATGTTGATAATCATGTTGTGTCTTATACCATGACACGCTTCCGGTTAATACAATATTATTACAATAGGGGTATTAGTGTAGTCAGTCCTACCTGGCAGGTGTTGTCGCTAATACAGCCCGGCTCTACATTCTCAGCATCGGCGGGGAAGTAGACCTCTCCCTCTGAGTTATTTAGCGTGCTGTTCCATGCATCCACGTCCAGATGCGCTCCGTCCAGACGCAGGTCCTGCAGGCAGCCCTTGAAGTGTCCCCCCCAGGCCTCAGAGTTCTCCCCCACCCCAGGGAGACCCCCTACGTAGGCCAGGTCCCCACTGTGCACCTCTACCTCGGGAACCTCACCTATTCCGTAGCGCAGGCCGGCGTGCTGGAAGAACACCCGCCCAGACTGAACCTCGACATGTAGAAGTTGCTTCTTTCCCGTGGTCACGACAATGGGTGCCGTCAGTGGGTGGCTTTCAGGGACGGAGCTGACCAGGACTCTCCCCATGCCCAGGTAAACATTAAAATAGGCCTCGCCCTCTTCTCCGGGTCGCCTCAGCTGGAAGAGCAGGCCGTCGGGCTTCAGAGACCGCAGGAAAAAGGAGACGCTGAAGTTGGCGCCGTGATCAGTGCCGATGTCATAAGCGCTGTAGCTCCCAGTTTCCTCATGACTGTACGTCCAGGAGGGGAACTCTGTCAGAACAGATAAAATGAAATAAATACAAACTTGAACCAGAGGAAGCAACCATGTGTACCTGTCCTGGCCATAGAAGAACATTAGGTAACACTTTATTTGGATAGTCCATCTGTAGTTGCTCTACAGACTATCAGTAACATTTCAACTAACTATCTACTAACCCTAGCCCTAACCCTAACCTTAACCTTAGCAAGCAGTTGGTTATCAACAGATAGTTTGTTGATAGTATGACCATCTGTAAAGCATCTACCGATGGACTATCTGGGCTATCCAAATAAAGTGGAACCAAACCTTATGGCAAATTACTCATCAAAAAGTGAAGACAAATATCTTTGAAAAATGACTTTGATGAAGTGAGCTAGAGCTCTTGGAATTGCAAATGAGATTAATTAGAAAATGGTCTGGATGGAATTTTCTAAGTGAATGATGTCTTTCTCAGAAGACTATATTAGCAGATACATTGTTGGAAGGTAAATGTTGCTTACCATCGGCGCAGCTGTGACCGTGGTAGGGCCGGTAGCAATCGCAGCGGTGGCTGATCCACAGGTCCACACAGTGGCCTTGACCGGAGCAGGGGTCAGGTTCGCACCACTCTGTCTTGCTACAGCCTAGCTCCATCTCATGTGCATGCTCCTCTGGAAGGTTGTGGGGCAGGATGGCCTTGAAGTCGATCAGCAGGTCCTCCACACACCCCACAAACCCGTGGCCACTCTTCGTGTTCTCCAGCAACTCTCCGGGGGCACCGCCCACGTAGACGTGACCGAACGCCTCAGAGGGAACGAAGTGTGGCCCGTTGGGACCACCATCCTTCACCGTGCACCCTTCGCTGTCGCATCCTGGACCTTTCAGGTTAAAAACCAGCCCTTCCTCTTCGTTCACGTACACGTCAGCGTCGCGCCAGTCTCCGTCGCTGACCAGCCCGGAGAACACAACCTCCAGCTCGGCGTCCTCCGAGAAGGCCTTGGCACGAAGACCTCCACCCACAATCTCCAGCAGGAGGTGGCTGTCGGCATCGCCACGATAGAAGAGCACCATATCGGGCAAGGTGGTGCGAAAGCGCAGCCGGACTCCCTTCCCGTGGTGGTGGTGCTCGGCATGCCTCCGTCTCCTCCTCTCTTCCACTTCCAGGGTGACCATGATGAGGACGAAGCCCGGACTGGAGAATGAGAAGGTGGTGGGGGTGGAGCAGAGCTCGCCGTAGAAGCCGTGGGGGCAGAGGCATGTGTGGCCATGCTCTTCCTCTTCCAGCCACGGGTGGCAGGTGGCGCCGTTCTGGCATTCTTGGTCCACGCAGCCCAGGAGCTGGGTGTCGCAGTGGTGGCCACCCCAGGGTAGCTTGTCAGGCTCAGCCTCGGGGCAGTGGCAGGTGTAGCTGGCCACGCCGTCTTCGCACCAGGCACCGTTCAGACACGGCTGGCTCTCGCACTCATCAATGTTGATTTCACAAATTTCCCCTGCGAATGCAATGCACTACTTCAGTCAGACTTTTGAAGATTAATCTACCTAGAATTTAATCTACAGATCAGTCCATTCTTCTGATAAGATAAAAACAGCACAAAGATATACACTGAGTGTACAAAACATTAAGAACACCTTCCTTATATTGAGCCCCCCTCTTTTGCCCTCAGAACAGCCTCAATTCGTCGGGGCATGGACTCTACAAGGTGTTGAAAGCATTCCATAGGGATGCTGGCTCATGTTAACTCCAATGCTTCCCACAGTTGTGTCAAGTTGGCTGGATGTCCTTTGGGTGGTGGACCATTCTTGATACACACGGGAAACTGTTCACCGTGAAAAACCCAGCAGCATTGCAGTTGTTCACAAAAACCGGTGCGCCTGGCACCTACTACCATTCCCCGTTCAAAGGCACTTCAATCTTTTGTCTTGTCCATTCACCCTCTGAATGGCACACATACACAATCCATTTCTCAATTTTCTCAAGGCTTAAAAATCCTTCTTTAACCTGTCTCCTCCCCTTCATCTACACTGATTGAAGTGGATTTAACAAGTGACATCAATAAGGGATCTTCTCCTGGACTCTCCTGGTCAGTCTATGTCATGGAAAGAGCAGGTGTTCTTAATGTTTTGTATACTCAGTGTCGATAATACTGTCCTGCTGTAATGACGTACAGAAGTATACAGAGTTTGTTGAACACCTTACCCATAAATCCCTCCGGACACAAACAGGTGTAGCCATTCACCTGATCCTCACAAGAGCCTCTATTCTGGCAGGGCTCAGACTCACACTCATCAATGTTCACGGAACAGTTCTCTCCTGGCAAGGGACAAAGGAACAACACCAACAACCTTATTATTTGTCAGTGAGAAACGGCCAAAACAATTCCAAAAGTAACAAACCTTAAATTTGCTCCTGTGCAAAGTTGAATGTTGGTAAAACCCTCTCCTTTCATTAGACTGCGTCTCACCTGCGAAGCCGGGTTGACACTGGCACAGGTATCCGGCAGCGTCGGCGAACCTGAATTCCCAGTCCATCTCCCAGTGGGATGTGTCGGAACGCTCGAAACACTCGCCGTCGTTCTCACATGGCTGCTCAGCACACTCATCAATGTCAATCTCACAGTTCTCCCCCTCATAACCTAGGAGAACCAATGAAATGTAAATACACTGTATTTCTGTACACTCAAAGCCTAAACAAACTGTACTGCTATTAGACCATTATGACACCACCCTCTTTCACTCACCAATCGTCTGACAGCATGAACAACTGTACCTACTCAAGACATGGACAACTGCAGCACCGTATCAGTTTTGTGTTTGTCTTTTTAACCCTTTTTGACTACATTTCTGCAAATGTGGTGGGTAATGGTAAGGTGCACATACCAGGCCAGCAGAGACAGGTGTACTCTTTGACTCCCTCCAGGCAGGTGGCGCCGTGCTGACACGGGTCAGACGCACACTCAGGGATGTCCTCCTCACAGTGGTCACCCAGGAAGCCTGTGTCCTCACAGTCACACTCATAGCTGTAGGAAAGGAAGTCTGGGTCAGTTGCAATCGCTACGTTGACATTCAACAAAGCATATTGGCCGAATATAAATAAATGCAAAAATGTAACAGATGGATGATTGAGATAACGCTTACACATACACATGATAAGACACACTCTACACACACGTACACATGGATTTTGTATTGTAGATATGTGGTAGTAGAGTAGTGGCCTGAGGGAACACAATGTGTTGTGAAAAGTGTTATGAAATGTAATGTCATGTAATATTTTAAATTGTATATAACTGCCTTAATGTTGCTGGACCCCAGGAAGAGTAGCTGCTGCCTTGGCAGGAACTAATTGGGATCTTTAATAAATACAAATAACACCCTGTCTCAATGTGAGGGGCTTAAGCTCACCAAAACGGCAGTCAGGCCCCAAAGTCATTTAAGGACAGGAGTTGTGTCAATCCTAAAAGCCTTGGGTAGTTACCTGTCCACCTTGTCCTGGCAGATGGCTCCATTTAGACAGGGCTCGCTGGCACACTCGTCAATGTCCACCTCGCAGTCGGTGCCCTCGAACCCAGGCAGACACTCGCAGGAGTACAGACCAAGGAGGTCATGGCAGGTGGCTCCGTTGCGGCAAGGGTTGGACTCGCACTCGTCTATCTCCACCTCACAGTTCACTCCTGTGAGAGGTAGAGAAAAAGGAGTGATAGAGTCAGAGAATGTGCTGAATGAGAAACAAACCATCTCCGAGTGGGAGTGACTGAGGAACTGTACATTAAGTACTAGGAGGGGACATATCTTCCACAGACTTCACCATTGTATCTCGTCTACATCAAGTCAACGTGTCCATAGATCATCTTTGCTCTTATGACAATACTGAAAGAAAGAAACATCAGCTAAATAAATAGTGGACAGTAAATGCAAGAGCAGCCAATCTGGACTCAGGTGTTTGTTTCTCTAACTATAAATAGGCAGTAGCATGGAGTCTGCTTGTTGATGCCTCTAGATAGCTCAGGTGATAATGTAAAAATGCCTCAGTTGCCCGTCTGAACCCTTTCCTTGAAAATCTCCATGGTCACTGATATGCTGACAAAGGAATGCATTACTGCTGACTCTTCGCACCCCATTAGAGATAAGCATTAAGCCCTTAGACACAGACCAGGCCTGCTGAGAAAAGAAAGGAGTGTAAGAAATGAAGTGTACGAAATGGTGTACAAGTAGTGGAGTGTTTTCTCTCACTCAGCGGGAGACCTATCCACAGGGGCCAATATCCACAGGGGCCAAGCTGAAGATAAGACTTACTCTCTTTACTTAAAATGCTTCTAGTTCTCTGTTTATCAAGAACCAAACGTACACGTAAAGGTGCAGTTAGTAAGATGACAACAACAAGACAAGATACCCCCCTGTATATATAGCCTCCCTACTGTTATTTTATTTTACTTCTGCTCTTTTTTTTCTCAACACTTTTTTGTTTTATTCTACTTTTTTATTAAAAATAAATGCACTGTTGGTTAAGGGCTGTAAGTAAGCATTTCACTGTAATGTCTGCACCTGTCGTATTCGGCGCATGTGGCCAATAAAATGTGATTTGATTTGATTTGATTAACATATATATTCATCTCTGCCAAGCCTCATTATTGGCTCTGCACAATTTGAATCGTTCTTTGTGGCACGCACGCCCTCATTGGTTAATAGGAAATCATCCTGTTGTGTATGATGATGTCAGCTTTAATGTGAAAACATTCTGGCATGGTGAAAGAAGTACTGATATGAGATAACTAAATCTTGCTGATACATTGTGTCCAGAAACATTGAAAAGCAAAGCACCAGATCTCCCTCCACACTGGAGGAGATATTAGGTGATAGACAGTGAGTTGTGGCTGATACAGGGTTACGAAAATGGTGGGAAAATTACACTTAATTGGAGACTAACTGAGTACAAACACAACACTCTGTGGGCAGAGGAGTGAGCGATTAAAAGGCGGAACAACTTACCTGTGAACCCTACGAGGCACTGGCATTCGTACCGGTCCTTCTCATTGATGCAGGTTCCGTTATTCTCGCAGGGCCGCGAGGCGCACTCATTGATATCGATCTCACAGTTGTAGCCCTGGAAGCCTGGCACACAGAAACAGTGAAACTCGGCCACGCCGTCCATGCAGATAGCGCCGTTCTGGCAAGGATGTGACGCACACTCGTCCACGTCCTCTTCACAATGCTCCCCGTCGAACCCCAGCGCACAGTGGCACTCGAACCCCTCCTGTAACAGTATACAAGTCCCATTGTTCAGACACGGCTCATCGATGCAGTCGGTCACTCGCTCTTCACAGTCCTCTCCTCCGTAGCCGGGTGGACATCGGCAGAAGTAGCTGTTGACCTGGTCGATGCACTCTGTGTGGGGCTCAGAGCAAGGGTTGCTATGGCACTCGTCCACTTCCTCAGTGCAGTTGTCCCCAGTAAATCCTTCGGGGCAGACACAGTGATACTCGGACGTGCCAGGGGTGCTGGTGCAGTCCGAGCAGGGGGCGAAGGAGCAGGCATCGTAGAGTTCGTCGCAGTCTTTGCCCATGTAGCGGACCTCGTCGCGAGGGGGGCAGAGGCATGCATAGTCATCCATGGTGTCCACGCAGGTGGCGCCATTCTGGCAGGGCCCGGACAAGCACTTGTCACTGGTCGCCGTGCAGAATATCCCTGAGGAGAAGAAGAGGAGATGCTTATTGTTGTGCAAAATGGACAGTTTACCCTAATACAGTCAAGATGCCCTGACCAGTCATCACAACTTAGTGTATTTATCACGTCACACTTGGTGTGTTCACACAAGAGAGTCCTTTACATTTTTGGAGGGAAAAGTGGGTTGTCGTTTAGTGTGATTTTAATGGACATTTTATGACATCATCATATGTGGGGGACGCCGGTACACTTCTGAATGTCTCCCAGATATCCACACCGTGTGAGCCCTGTGCTTGCACAATGTTGTTTTGTTGAGTGCCACTCTAAGCCGATTCACAACCAGCTTTGGTCCAGATTTGTAGGCTATTTGGTTCTGACACAAAAACGTTGTAATGAAGTTGTAAACATTGATAGTCTACTGCATTACTTTAGCTAGAAGTTCATAGTTGGAGGTATTTTGTTTGTGTTTCTTTGGGGCTGTTCAGCAAGTGTGAAACCTCTTTCACCCCAGTGCTGCTATGAACAAGAACACAATCAAACTTAGTGATGCAAAAGGCTTCCTCTGCTAGATGTTTGTACTTTATCAAGAAGCACATAACATAGTACAATAATTTGGCAACAACATCTCATAAACACTTATAATGTGTTACTATTTAGCATTCGAGTGTCACTAATATTAACACCCTGGTTAGATGGTGGACAAATACCAGTGCCAACTTAGTGAACCATGGCCAAAGTTAGTTAGTAGGTCCCTCTGTGCTAATCCTGATATGTGTATTCACCCTGACATTTCCTTTCATCTTCTCCTCCCTTAATTTGAAAGGACAAATTGTGTAGGAGAGTCCTGGAGCAACTCTAGAGTTCATGGCCCCTTTCGCAGTGAGACGCCCAGTGCTAAATCCCCAACTAAAGCTAAGAAACCCTCTGTGCACTACAAAGTATTTTTCCGTTGGCTTTGTTTTACGCAGCTAGTTTAGTGCTCATTGACAGATTGTTAACAATGGGCATCTGGGTTGACTCAAGCCCTAATCTTTCCTGTCGGTCCCAAAGGGAATGATGACCACCCCTAGACCACAACACATCAATAAAACAAAAAACCCCACAACAAAGTCAGAAAATATTTTCCCTCGTATCTTGTAGGCCTAGTATCCAGAGGACTCTTAACTAAGCAACGAGAAAAAAAAGAGGGAGAGAGTGCCATCTAGCTAACGTTTGCCTTGTTTGTTTAGTCATTGTTATGCTAAAGCTAAAACAAAAGTTTCCCTGAGGAACTTTTTAGGAGAGACCAATGCTCTGGGCAAAGGCATGCAGTGGGGATTCCAGGGAGGGGAGAGGCGTCTGGATGGAATTCCAGCCATGAACCCTTGAAGGTAGAGCAGATAAGATGCAGATCAGATGCATGGTCTGCAGGCTATCAAGTGTCCACTCGACAGGTGGGGTTTATGGGGTGGATAACTACGAGTTAGTACGCAAGGTTAACTTCTCCAGGTCAGTAGCTTGGCAAAACCTGATCCCATAGCACCTCTCGCTCGTTTAACACTTCAGCGGTCACATTTCCTCTCAGGAAGTGTGTCAGGGAGCTCTGACTCAATTTATTCTAATCACATGACACATATTCTAATCCATGTTTACTACACAGTAAATTATGTTCATTTACACATGCAGTTTGTTATGAGGCACATGTCATTGACCGTTTCACTGATCATGTAATTACCACATTGGATACATACAGTATAAAGATACTTTTATGATCACAATCACTATCAAAACTCAACTATGGCAGTGAGTAACTTGACGGTCATAAAATGTGAGTTGGTTATGTTTTCCATAGACAACGGGGTAAAAACAATCTGAAACAATTAATGTATTGCGCTCGAGCCCTCTCTAGCCAGACCTCTCTACTGGCTGGGGCTTTTGGTGCCCTCTGTATGTACATGGAGCTGAACCACAGGAGGCCGCTGAGGGGAGGACGGATTATAATAATGGCTGGTGTCTAATGTATTCGATAATAATATATAATATAATATGCCATTTAGCAGACGCTTTTATCCAAAGCGACTTACAGTCATGTGCGCATACATTTTTACGTATGGGTGGTCTTGGGGATCGAACCCACTACCCTGGCGTTACAAGCGCCATGCTCTACCAATTGAGCTACAGAGGACCACGATACCATTCCCCCCATTCCGCTCCAGCCATTACAACTAGCCCGCCCTCCCCAATTAAGGTGCCACCAATCTCCTGTGAACTGAATCGAACAGGACGCTTTTGGGAGAAGGAGGGGTGATTTTCTGTCCATCCATTATCTCCCTGCAACCGGCCAATCGTGTGAGCCCAGTGTGGAATCAGTCCACATTCCACAGATTGAACAGACCCCCATCCCCCACCTCCACTGTCCACCCCACCATCCCAAACTAACTCCCCCCACCACCCCACCATCCCACATCCACCCTCACATCCATCCCCCACACTTTGATCAGTGTTCTGTTCCCAAATTCTCATTGGAGCGGAAGATATTAACGATGAAGGGAGTAGAGAGAGCGAGGGATGGGGGTAGGGTGAGGGAGAGAGGGATGGGGGTAGGGTGAGGGGGGGAGGCAGGGAGGGTGGAGGGTGAGGGAGGTGAGGGCAGGGTGGGTGGTAGGGTGAGGGCAGAGAGGATGGGGATGGTGGGTAGGGTTGTGCGGGAGAGGAGGGAAGGGCGGGCTGGGGCTAGGGTGGGGAGGGGGGAGGAGCGGGTGGGGGTAGGTTGACGGGAGTGGAGGGAGGGAGGAGGGTCGGGGGGCTTAGGGTGAGGCGAGGGTGGGTGGTAGGGTTGAGTGAGGAGGGAGGGGAGGGCGGGAGGGTCGGGCGTAGGGGTTGGGAGGGAGGGATGGGAAGGGAGTGAGGGTGGGGGTAGGGTTGAGGGAGGGAGGGGGGAGGGGTGGGGGTAGGGTGAGGGAGGGATGGGAGGGAGGGGTAGGGTGAGGGAGGGAGGGTGGGGGTAGGGTGAGGGTGGGAGGGAGGGTGGGGGTAGGGTGAGGGAGGGAGGGAGGGAGGGTGGGGGTAGGGTGAGAGGGGGAGGAATGTTGCAAGACCACGGTGGTAAGTGTGGCGCATGGTCCAAGAGATTGACCTCGTCTCACACACAACATTAGTGATGTTGGCCAGGTTTTCCTTTGGGACAGAGACATGTAGAGACATAGGTAGACCAATCCAACAATGTTTGGCTAGGAGCACAGTTGGAAACGCTTTCCACCGTTGGTCCTCTTATAGCTGCATCTGACAGATGGCCTTGGACATAAGCTCTTAACACCCCTGGACCTGTCACCGCTGACTGATGGAGAGTGTCAGACACAGAGAGAGCCCTGGGCATCTCAGAGTAGGAGCGCTGATCTAGGATCAGTTTTGCCCATCTTTTAGATCATATGGGACAGGGAGGACCTGATCAGCACTCCTACTCTGGGACACTTTATGAACACAGTTCCTGTTCCCTGCATTACCACAGGGCCCCTCATTTGGAGTTGGCATCAACTCCCTGACCACTTGTGTGATCCCAGCGTCCGTCTGCGACGACGCCATCTCCGGCTCACACCTCTGACCCCGTCACCACCCCCATCTGAGCCAAACGAAGGCGTTCAGGGAACACCCACGGTGCAACACTCGTGATTAACCAAAGAAAAGAGAAATGGGGATAAATTCTTCCAGTTTTTCAGGAATCAAATTAAGGCAGTTAGTTAGTTAGTGCCTGTCAGTTCTTATTCAGTGGAATTTCTTCAACTGTATTGAAAACAAGGTATTAGAGGCAGCCATTCAGAAACACATGGAGCAGGTGAACACGTGGCGTGGAAAGAGTCACTTTGGAATATGACCGCCATGCCTTAGACTCACCCTACTGAAACTAAGTCACCATGATGGCTTTGCCAAAATGTCCATCAGTCTAGGTATATCTAGGTGCACCCTGTGTATCAGTTAGGGTGGCCCCACCCTCAGCGGCTTCCAGAAACAACCGGATGCATCCAGTTTTCAGGGGAAATGGAAAGAGAGCCTGTGACGCGAATTCCGCTTTTGGACATTAACAAGGCGACACGCCATCTTAACTCCTCCTCCACATTTACTGGATTGGTTGAACAGTGCAGAAAAGAACCTCCACCGACAGGACCAGAAAGAAAGAAACGGCTGCTATGTTAGGTTAGGGTGGCCATGATACTAAGAGAGATTGTTTGGCATGGACTGACAACTAAGGCTGCGCTTACACAGGCAGACCAATTCTGATGAATTGCCCGATTATTGGCAAAAGATCTGATCTGATTGGTCAAAAGACCAATTAGTGGCAAAAAATATCAGAATTGGGCTGCCTGTGTAAATGCAGCTAGAGGCTGTTTGTAAAAACATCAGAGTGGTGATGTATTCACTTTGGAAATAGTTTTTGTCTGTGATTGGGGCAAGTTCTTTTCCCCAAGTTCTGCCTGTAATTATTGAAAGTTCTGTTCCCCAACCTAGCAGTATGGGAATCCATAACTTAGACACCATAACATAGGGGAACAGGTTATCCATAGTATGTTTTCTGAAATACAAACCTCATTTGACAATGGAACCTCAATGTGATGAAATCCATGATAAAGTCTCCCATTGTGAGGTCATCTAATCAAAGTCAGAGTGTTACTTTCAGGCCAAGAGAAATCCCTTGATCAGCTTGTCAGCTAGTTGAACGCTCTGTCACAACAGCCGGAGCTTACTGCTTGATCTGAAGCAGAGAGACATCTACAAAAGAAGATAGCTCAATAGCAAGCAAGCTCGGCGTCTGCAGGCAGTATGCTGAACAGCGTCTAAAAGGTTCTAACGAGACTCAAAGAGAAGCCTCAGGGTGCTTCCTGGGGTCTCTGTGGGCTATTGTGTTTTTCATTCATTCAACTGTCTCGAACAGCCACACACTCATTCATACACACTCACACACCTGCCACCGGCGACCCTTGGATACCGGAAAGCAGCCAGGAATTCCTTTATTGCACGTGCATGTGTGTGTGTGCCCAACCCCGAGTCCGGGAAAGGGACTGGCCAACCCATGACTCCCCCAAAAACTCCCCCCAAAAGTGTCCAGCAAAGTAGGGTTGCCATGGCAGCCTAAAAGTTATGCAGGGGGCTTAGGGAGGGCCAGCGACCTCCCCTGACCTCCTCCTCCAACTCTCCTGTCAGAGTGAGGGATGCTGGGATAGGGTGGTAGCAGGAATGGGGGTAAGAAAGATTGAGGGTAAAGGTGGTAATGGGGTAAGAAAGATGGAGGGTAAAGAGAAGCTGTTTAACCTCACTCTCCCTCACCTCATGCTGTGGCCCACTCATGGAAGAACACTTGCTGGCTCGCCAGAAGGCAGGTTGTCACATCTCATTTCAGTTTTAAAGGTGCATGGAGCTTGCTGTGTGTTTGTAGGAACTCAGAGGATTACAGTGGGGCTTCTGGTGGGTTTTAGCTGAATGGCAAATCCCTTTAGAGAGCAGGCGGAGTATAAAAACGTGTAGACTTAGTCCGTAGTCTCCCGTTGAGGTGAAAGGTACCGTGGTAAAGAAAAAAAAGGTCCCGAAGTAGGACTTGGTTGCACAGACAAGATCACACCTCTCTCTGCCCATGAAGGAATTTAGGGCATTCATTTTTTTTTTCAGAAGTTTGGAACCAAAACAATTAAGATTCTGTGGTACACAATTAAGACATTTTTCATGCATTATGCTCAAAGCACTAATTACGATAATGATGATAGTCTCACTGACTGGGTAATTACAGTATAATGGAGGATTGTGATAAGATAGAACACCATTCTTCTCTTCGGGACCTGGGAGAGCCACGCCGTGTGTTCTGTTTCCTCCCAGCCCAGTACTATACAGTGAGGGAAAAAAGTATTTGATCCCCAGCTGATTTTGTACGTTTGCCCACTGACAAAGAAATGATCAGTCTATAATTTTAATGGTAGGTTTATTTGAACAGTGAGAGACAGAATAACAACAAAAAATTCCAGAAAAACGCATGTCAAAAATGTTATAAATTGATTTGCATTGTAATGAGGGAAATAAGTATTTGACCCCCTCTCAATCAGAAAGATTTCTGGCTCCCAGGTGCTCCTAATCTCAGTTTGTTACCTGTATAAAATACACCTGTCCACAGAAGCAATCAATCAATCAGATTCCAAACTCTCCAACATGGCCAAGACCAAAGAGTTCTCCAAGGATGTCAGGGACAAGACTGTAGACCTACACAAGGCTGGAATGGGCTACAAGACCATCGCCAAGCAGCTTGGTGAGAAGGTGACAACAGTTGGTGCGATTATTCGCAAATGGAAGAAACACAAAAGACCTGTCAATCTCCCTCGGCCTGGGGCTCCATGCAAGATCTCACCTCGTGGAGTTGCAATGATCATGAGAACGGTGAGGAATCAGCCCAGAACTACACGGGAGGATCTTGTCAATGATCTCAAGGCAGCTGGGACCATAGTCACCAAGAAAACAATTGGTAACACACTACGCCGTGAAGGACTGAAATCCTGCAGCGCCCGCAAGGTCCCCCTGCTCAAGAAAGCACATATACAGGCCCCACTGAAGTTTGCCAATGATGATTCAGAGGAGAACTGGGTGAAAGTGTTGTGGTCAGATGAGACCTAAATGGAGCTCTTTGGCATCAACTCAACTCGCCGTGTTTGGAGGAGGAGGAATGCTGCCTATGACCCCAAGAACACCATCCCCACTGTCAAACATGGAGGTGGAAACATTATGCTTTGGGGGTGTTTTTCTGCTAAGGGGACAGGACAACTTCACCGCATCAAAGGGACGATGGACAGGGCCATGTACCGTCAAATCTTGGGTGAGAAACTCCTTCCCTCAGCCAGGGCATTGAAAATGGGTCGTGGATGGGTATTCCAGCATGACAATGACCCAAAACACACGGCCAAGGCAACAAAGGAGTGGCTCAAGAAGAAGCACATTAAGGTCCTGGAGTGGCCTAGCCAGTCTCCAGACCTTAATCCCATAGAAAATCTGTGGAGGGAGCTGAAGGTTCGAGTTGCCAAACGTCAGCCTCGAAACCTTAATGACTTGGAGAAGATCTGCAAAGAGGAGTGGGACAAAATCCCTCCTGAGATATGTGCAAACCTGGTGGCCAACTACAAGAAACGTCTGACCTCTGATTGCCAACAAGGGTTTTGCCACCAAGTACTAAGTCATGTTTTGCAGAGGGGTCAAATACTTATTTCCCTCATTAAAATGCAAATCAATTCATAACATTTTTGACATGCGTTTTTCTGGATTGTTTTGTTGTTATTCTGTCTCTCACTGTTCAAATAAACCTACTATTAAAATGATAGACTGATCATGTCTTTGTCAGTGGGCAAATGTAAAACAATCAGCAGGGGATCAAATACTTTTTTCCCTCACTGTAACACCTGGTTCAGATAATCAAAAGTATTGATGATCAGTTCAATCAGGGCTCTCCAGAACTGGGAAGGAAGACCCTGAGATTGATGATGAATGTTACCCTGGGCATCCATGTCCCATGCACCTTTTCCTCTATGCACATGATATTAACGTCTTACATTTCATGTACCTGTTATTTAACGCTAAATCTTATCTCGGACAATAAGAATATGGCCCTGTACATGGGTAGGAACATATCATTTGTTTGGAGTATCCTCTGTGAATCAGTATCAATATTGTATGTATTGTAATAGTCCCCTGTAGCTCAGTTGGTAGAGCATGGCGCTTGCAACGCCAGGGTTGTGGGTTCGTTTCCCACGGGGGGCCAGTGTGAAAATGTATGCACTCACTAACTGTAAGTTGCTCTGGATAAGAGCGCCTGCTAAATGACTAAAATGTAAAATGTAATATTGACAGCCCCTTCAATTTGGCCTGGAGTGAACCGGAAATGGGCTTAGCCTCCTAGTGAGCAATGAAGCTATACCGGACATAAAATAAATGACTGAAATGTTGAAATAAATTATCCAGAAATGAGAATGGGCTGAGTGGACAACCCTGACATGCACCCTTTTTCTAATTTTACAATTTTTTCCACCCTTCAACTCCTTAGAGGCAGGTCAGATAGCCTTCCTGACCTTGAGAGCCTTTCTCTGGTCTTAACCTCTCCCGGCTGCTTTCGGCCAATCCCCTTGCTCCTCTAAGCTCCTGACAGCAGGATACCTGAGCAGATTACCACTGAGAGGCTCTCTGCATGTTCTCACTTCTCACTTCTCACTTCACACGCACACACACATGTTCTACATACATATTACATAACAATGCCCGCATATACCCACACTTACGCATGTGCACAGATATATACGTATACTCACAACTTCAAGTACTATGCATGTACACAGGGATATACAGTACCAGTCAAAAGTTTGGACACACCTACTCATTTAAGGGTTTTTCTTAATTTTTTTACTATTTTCTACATTGTAGAATAATAGTGAAGACATCAAAACTATGAAATAACACATGGAATCATGTAGTAACCAAAAAAGTGTTAAACAATTGTTATTTTATATTTGAGATTCTTCAAAGTAGCTACCCTTTGCCTTGATGACAGCTTTGCGCACTCTAGGCATTCTCTCAACCAGCTTCATGAGGTAGTCACCTGGAATGCATTTCAATTAACAGGTGTGCCTTCTTTAAAGTTAATTTGTGGAATTTCTTTCCTCCTTAATGCGTTTGAGCCAATCAGTTGTGTTGTGACAAGGTAGGGGTGGTATACAGAAATTAGCCCTATTTAGTAAAAGACCAAGTCTATATTATGGCAAGAACCTCTCAAATAAGCGAAGAGAAACGACAGTCCATCATTACTTTAAGACATGAAGGTCAGTCAATCCGGAAAATGTCAAGAACTTGAAAAAAAATTATTCAAGTGCAGTCGCAAAAACCATCAATCGCTATGATGAAACTGGCTCTCATGAGGACCGCCACAGGAAAGGAAGACCCAGAGTTACCTCTGCTGCAGAGGATACATTCATTAGAGTTAACTGCACCTCAGATTGCAGCCCAAATAAATGCTTCACAGAGTTCAAGTAACAGACACATCTCAACATCAACTGTTCAGAGGAGACTGCGTGAATCAGGCCTTCATGGTCAAATTGCTGCAAAGAAACCACTACTAAAGGACACCGATAAGGAAACACGAGCAATGGACATTAGACCGGTGGAAATCTGTCCTTTGGTCTGATGAGTCCAAATTTGAGATTTTTGGTTCCAACCACTGTGTCTTTGTAAGACGCAGAGTAGGTGAACAGATGATCTCCACATGTGCGGTTCCCACCGTGAAGCACGGAGGAGGAGGTGTGATGGTGTGTGGGTGCTTTGCTGGTGACACTGTCTGTGATTTATTTAGAATTCAAGGCACACTTAACCCGAATTGCTACCACAGCATTCTGCAGGGATATGCCATCCCATCTGGTTTGCGTTTAGTGGGACTATCATTTGTTTTTCAACAGGACAATGACCCAACACACCTCCAGGCTGTGTAAGGGCTATTTGACCAAGAAGGAGAGTGATGGAGTGCTGCATCAGATGACCTGGCCTCCACAATCACCCGATCTCAACCCAGTTGAGATGGTTTGGGATGAGTTGGACCGCAGAGTGAAGGAAAAGCAGCCAACAAGTGCTCAGCATATGTGGGAACTCCTTCAAGACTGTTGGAAAAGCATTTCAGGTGAAGCTGGTTGAGAGAATGCCAAGAGTGTGCAAAGCTGTCATCAAGGCAAAGGGTGGCTACTTTGAAGAATCTAAAATCTAAAATATATTTTGATTTGTTTAACACTTTTTTGGTTACTACATGATTCCATATGTGTTATTTTATAGTTTTGATGTCTTCACTATTATTCTACAATGTAGAAAACAGTAAAAAAATTAAGAAAAACCCTTGAATGAGTAGGTGTGTCCAAACTTTTGACTGGTAATGTATGTATACTCACATCTTCAAGTACTATGCATGTACACAGGTATATACAGTGGGGGAAAAAAGTATTTAGTCAGCCGCCAATTGTGCAAGTTCTCCCACTTAAAAAGATGAGAGAGGCCTGTAATTTTCATCATAGGTACACGTCAACTATGACAGACAAAATGAGGAAAAAAAATCCAGAAAATCACATTGTAGAATTTTTAATGAATTTATTTGCAAATTATGGTGGAAAATAAGTATTTGGTCAATAACAAAAGTTTCTCAATACTTTGTTATATACCATTTGTTGGCAATGTCACAGGTAAAACGTTTTCAGTAAGTCTTCACAAGGTTTTCACACACTGTTACTGGTATTTAGGCCCATTCCTCCATGCAGATCTCCTCTAGAGCAGTGATGTTTTGGGGCTGTCGCAGGGCAACACGGACTTTCAACTCCCTCCAAAGATTTTCTATGGGGTTGAGATCTGGAGACTGGCTAGGCCACTCCAGGACCTTGAAATGCTTCTTACGAAGCCACTCCTTCGTTGCCCGGGCGGTGTGTTTGGGATCATTGTCATGCTGAAAGACCCAGCCACGTTTCATCTTCAATGCCCTTGCTGATGGAAGGAGGTTTTCACTCAAAATCTCACGATACATGGCTCCATTCATTCTTTCCTTTACACGGTTCAGTCGTCCTGGTCCCTTTGCAGAAAAACAGCCCCAAAGCATGATGTTTCCACCCCCATGCTTCACAGTAGGTATGGTGTTCTTTGGATGCAACTCAGCATTCTTTGTCCTCCAAACACGACAAGTTGAGTTTTTACCAAAAAGTTCTATTTTGGTTTCATCTGACCATATGACATTCTCCCAATCCTCTTCTGGATCATCCAAATGCACTCTAGCAAACTTCAGATGGGCCTGGACATGTACTGGCTTAAGCAGGGGGACACGTCTGGCACTGCAGGATTTGAGTCCCTGGCGGCGTAGTGTGTTACTGATGGTAGGCTTTGTTACTTTGGTCCCAGCTCTCTGCAGGTCATTCACTAGGTCCCCCCGTGTGGTTCTGGGATTTTTGCTCACCGTTCTTGTGATCATTTTGACCCCACGGGGTGAGATCTTGCGTGGAGCCCCAGATCGAGGGAGATTATCAGTGGTCTTGTATGTCTTCCATTTCCCAATAATTGCTCCCACAGTTGATTTATTCAAACCAAGCTGCTTACCTATTGCAGATTCAGTCTTCCCAGCCTGGTGCAGGTCTACAATTTTGTTTCTGGTGTCCTTTGACAGCTCTTTGGTCTTGGCCATAGTGGAGTTTGGAGTGTGACTGTTTGAGGTTGTGGACAGGTGTCTTTTATACTGATAACAAGTTCAAACAGGTGCCATTAATACAGGTAACGAGTGGAGGACAGAGGACCCTCTTAAAGAAGAAGTTACAGGTCTGTGAGAGCCAGAAATCTTGCTTGTTTGTAGGTGACCAAATACTTATTTTCCACCATAATTTGCAAATAAATTCATTAAAAATCCTACAATGTGATTTTCTGGATTTTTTTTTCTCAATTTGTCTGTCATAGTTGACGTGTACCTATGATGAAAATTACAGGCCTCTCTCATCTTTTTAAGTGGGAGCACTTGCACAATTGGTGACTGACTAAATACTTTTTTTCTCCACTGTACGTATTCTCACAACTTCAAGTGCTATGCATGTACACACACTATACCTCTACATTAGCATGTAGACAAATAAACATCCTCGAAACGCACACGCTCATACACCAGTCATGCTTCTGCAGTATGTACACATAAACACACATACAGTATTTGAGCCAGGTAGACAAACACAAAAGTATACTAAAGTGTTGACTGTGATTTGAGCCCCGGTCTTTGACTTTTCACAAAACGTATCAAAATAGAATCCACTGGTCCAAGAAGGCAAACGAAGGAAGTAATCCACAGATTCAAATAAAACCAGGCATAAAAGGCACAATCTGTAGTTTCATTTCTGGTTAAGATTTGTTGCAAGTGTAGTGCACTGATTGGCTTAAATAGACTTCATTTAGTTTTTATGTGTGTCTGTGTTCTTGTTTGAGCTCTGATTGGTTGTACCACAGGGGATAAAAAGTTACAGATTCATATTCACACTGACTCGTACACAAACTATAGATGACTGGTACTGACTCACTATAGATGACTGGTTCTGACTCACTATAGATGACTGGTCCTGACTCACATTCTGACTCACTATAGATGACTGGTCCTGACTCAATATAGATTACTGGTACTGACTCATTATAGATGATTGGTTCTGACTCACTATAGATGACTGGTCCTGACTCACTATAGATGACTGGTCCTGACTCACATTCTGACTCACTATAGATGACTGGTCCTGACTCACTATAGATTACTGGTACTGACTCATTATAGATGATTGGTTCTGACTCACTATAGATGACTGGTCCTGACTCACTATAGATGACTGGTCCTGACTCACTATAGATGACTGGTACTGACTCATTGTAGATGATTGGTTCTGACTCACTATAGATGACTGGTCCTGACTCACTATAGATGACTGGTCCTGACTCACTATAAATGACTGGTACTTACTCACTATAGATGACTGGTACAGACTCATTATAGATGACTGGTTCTGATTCACTATAGATGACTGGTTCTGACTCACTATAGATGACTGGTACTGACTCACTATAGATGACTGGTTCTGACTCACTATAGATGACTGGTCCTGACTCACATTCTGACTCACTAGAGATGACTGGTTCTGACTCACTATAGATGACTGGTACTGACTCACTATAGATGACTGGTCCTGACTCACATTCTGACTCACTAGAGATGACTGGTTCTGACTCACTACAGATGACTGGTCCAGACTCACTATAGATGACTGATCCTGACTCACTATAGATGACTGGTACTGACTCACTATAGATGATTGGTTCTGACTCACTATAGATGACTGGTCCTGACTCACTATAGATGACTGGTCCTGACTCACTCTGACTCACTAGAGATGACTGGTTCTGACTCACTATAGATGACTGGTCCTGACTCACTATAGATGACTGGTCCTGACTCACTATAGATGACTGGTCCTGACTCATTATAGATGACTGGTACAGACTCATTATAGATGACTGGTACAGACTCATTATAGATGACTGGTACAGACTCATTATAGATGACTGGTTCTGACTCATTATAGATGACTGGTACAGACTCATTATAGATGACTGGTACAGACTCATTATAGATGACTGGTACATACTCATTATAGATGACTGGTTCTGACTCATTATAGATGACTGGTACTGACTCATGTTTACCCACTGTACCTGATACCGCACACAGACACAATGGGAGGTTCCTCTGGGACGGCGAGACGCGACAGCCGTCTCCCACACCTGTCTCATCTCCACTCATCACCCCCCTCCATCTCTCTCCCTCCCTCCCTCCCTCCCCCTCACACACAGACACACATATACACACACACACAGTTCCCCCTCCCCATTCCAGCTTTTTTGCCCAAAACCCATTACCACACACATGCATATTTTCTCTCTCTCTCTCTCTCTTTCACACACACACACACAGCACCTCCTCATTCAAATCCCCTTACCAAACACACACTCAATCTCCCACACAGCCCCTTCTCTCCCATTCCAACCTCTAAAGGAGGGCAAGTCATCGCTAAAACATTCCACTCTTGTGATGTCACCACCTTCCCTCCTCTCTGGTGCCTATCTAACCTAGCAATGCCTTTTATCTCTGGTGAACCTGGCCATGGGCGTGGAATGCCAGTCACTCTGGACTTGGGGACAGGACTTGGGGCTCGTAGGTATCTTTTACCACAGCGTGTGGTGATGATCCAGGCTCGGCTGTCAGTCAAGGCAGACCAGACAGTCCAGACCAGGGTTGTGTTCATTTGGCAGAAAACAGAAGAAAATAACTGAAACAGTGAGGCAATATTTGGACTTGTCCAAGTAGAAATATGGTTTTATTTTGTTTTCAATTGAAAAATGTTTTGAAATGTTTTCTGTTACATGACCTAATGAATACAACCCAGAGTTAGTAGCTGAGTCTGAGCAATGTACCGTTTAATTTGCCACAAAAATGCATCGAATGTGAATCTTCCTGGAGATCATCCTGATTGTAATCTTAACCTACTCTAGTTGGGTCTAATCCCAACCCCATTTCAATTGGCAACCTAATCCGTCTGGGTAGTCCATGAGCACTTTCTGCAGACATTCTAGGACTGCTCTATGGTACTGAGATGTCTGGAAAGTCATTGACTAAGTATGCTTGAACTGACTCAGTATATAGCTTACTTACAGTGCATTCGGAAAGTATTCAGACCCCTTGACTCTTTCCACATTTTGTTAGGTTACAGTCTTATTCTAAAATGGATTAAATAGTTTTTCCCCCTCATCAATCTACACACAATACCCCATAATGACAAAGCAAAAACTATTTTTTATACATTTGCAAAAATGTCAAAAAAACTAAGAACTGAAATATCACATTTAAGTATTCAGTCCCTTTACTCAGTACTTTGTTGAAGCACCTTTGGCAGCGATTACAGCCTCAAGTCTTCTTGGGTTTGATGCTACAAGCTTGGCACACCTGTAGAATAGCGCCGAAGGAGATGGCTGCCGTTTTATGGGCTCCTAACCAATTGTGCTATTGTGTGTGTTTTTTCACGTTATTTGTAACTTTTTTTGTATATAATGTTTCTGCCACTGTCTCTTATGACCAAAAAGAGCTAATGGATATCAGGACAGCGATTACTCACCTTGTACTGGACAAAGATTTTTTCTTTAATGAGTCGGATGCGAAGGATTTTCTTCAGACACCCGACAAGGCCCAAATCCCTGTCATTCACATTGAGAAAGAGACAGAGATATCGGGGTCGTAGGTCGGAGTGCCTTGTAAGGATACGATGGCGAGTGCGTAATCTGCCTCTACCATCAGTCCTATTAGCCAACGTACAATCGTTGGATAACAAAATTGACGAACTAAGATCATGGATATCCTAACAATGGGACATTAAAAACTGTAATATCTTATGTTTCACAGAGTCGTGGCTGAACGACGAAATGGATAACATACGGCTGGCGGGATATATGCTGCATTGGCAAGATAGAACAGCTGCCTCCGGTGAGACAAGGGACTGGTGGTCTGTGTATATTTGTAAACAACAGCTGGTGCACGAAATCAAATATTAAGGAAGTCTCAAGGTTTTGCTTGGCTGAGGTAGAGTATCTCATGATAAGCTGTAGACCACACTATTTACCAAGAGAGTTTTCATCTATATTTTTTGTAGCTGTCTATTTACCACCACAAACTGATGCTGGCATTAAGACCACATTCAATGAGCTGTATAAGGCCATAAGCAAACAGGAAAACGCTCATCCAGAGGCGGCGCTCCTAGTGGCCGGGGACTTTAATGCAGGGAAACTTACATCCGTTTTATGTCATTTCTACCAGCATGTTAAATGTGCAACCAGAGGAAAAAAACCTCTAGACCACCTTTACTCCACACACAGAGCAGCGTACAAAGCTCTCCCTCGCCCTCCATTTGGCAAATCTGACCATAACTCTATCCTCCTGATTCCTGTTTACAAGCAAAAACTAAAGTAGGAAGCACCAGTGACTCGGTCAATAAAGAAGTGGTCAGATGACGCAGATGCTAAGCTATGGGACTGTTTTGCTAGCACAGACTGGAATATGTTCGGGATTCTTCCGATGGCATTGAGGAGTACACCACATTAGTCACTGGCTTCATCAATAAGTGCATCGATGACATCGTCCCCACAGTGACCGTACGTACATACCCCAACCAGAAGCCATGGATTACAGGCAACATCCGCACTGAGCTAAAGGGTAGAGCTGCCGCTTTAAAGGAGCGGGACTCTAACCCGGATGCTTATAAGAAATCCCGCTATACCCTCCGATGAACCATCAAACAGGCAAAGAGTCAATACAGGACTAAGATTGAATCGTACTACACCGGCTCTGATGCTCGTCGGATGTGGCAGGGCTTGCAAACTATTACAGACTACAAAGGGAAGCACAGCCGCGAGCTGCCCAGTGACACGAGCCTACCAGACGAGCTAAATTACTTCTATGCTCACTTCGAGGCAAGCAACACTGAAGTATGCATGAGAGCAACAGCTGTTCCGGACGACTGTGTGATCATGCTCTCCGTAGCCGATTTGAGTAAGACCTTTCAACAGGTCAACATTCACAAGGCCGCAGGGCCAGATGGATTACCAGGACGTGTACTCCGAGCATGCGCTGACCAACTGGCAAGTGTCTTAACTGACATTTTCAACATGTCCCTGACTGAGTCTGTAATACCAACATGTTTCAAGCAGAATCCCTGTGCCCAAGAACACCAAGGTAACCTGCCTAAATGACTACTGACCTGTAGCACTCACGTCTGTAGCCATGAAGTGCTTTGAAAGGCTGGTCATGGCTCACATCAACAACATTATCCCAGAAACCCTAGACCCACTACAATTTGCATACCGTCCCAACAGATCCACAGATGATGCAATATCTATTGCACTCCACACTGCCCTTTCCCACCTGGATAGTGCCCTCAAAGCTCATCACTAAGCTAAGGACCCTGGGACTAAACACCTCCCTCTGCAACTGGATCCTGGACTTCCTGATGGGCCGCCCCCAGGTGGTAAGGGTAGGTAACAACACATCTGCCACGCTGATCCTCAACACGGTGGCCCCTCAGTTGTGAGTGCTCAGTCCCCTCCTGTACTCCCTGTTCACCCATGACTGCATGGCCAGGCACGACTCCAACACCATCATTAAGTTTGCCGCCGACACAACAGTGGTAGGCCTGATCACCGACAACGATGAGACAGCCTATAGGGAGGAGGTCAGAGACCTGGCCGTGTGGTGCCAGGATAACAACTTCTCCCTCAACGTGATCAAGACAAAGGAGATGATTGTGGACTACAGGAAAAAGAAGAGGACCGAGCACGCCCCCATTCTCATCGACAGGGCTGTAGTGGAGCAGGTTGAGTGCTTCAAGTTCCTTGGTGTCCACATCACCAACGAACTATCATGGTCCAAACACCCCAAGACAGTCGTGAAGAGGGCACGACAAAGCCTATTCCCCCTCAGGAGACTGAAAAGATTTGGCATGGGTCATCAGATTCTCAAAAAGTTATACAGCTGCACCATCGAGAGCATCCTGACTGGTTGCATCACTGCCTGGTATGGCAACTGCTCGGACTCCGACCGTACATACGGCCCAGTACATCACTGGGGCTAAGCTTCCTGCCATCCAGGACCTCTATACCGGGCAGTGTCAGAGGAAGGCCCTAAATATTGTCAAAGCCTCCAGCCACCCTAGTCATAGACTGTTCTCTCTGCTACCGCAAAGCAAGCGGTACCAGATCGCTATGTCTAGGTCCAAAAGGCTTCTTAACAGTTAATCAAATGGCTACCCGGACAATTTGCATTACTTTATCTCTACCTACATGTACATATTACCTCAATTACCTCGACTAACCTGTGCCCCCGCACATTGACTCTGTACCGGCACCCCCTGAAGCCACTCCTGCGTTGTCTTGGCTGTGTGCGTAGGGTCATTGTCCTGTTGGAAGGTGAACCTTCGCCCCAGTCTGAGGTCCTGAGCGCTCTGGAGCAGGTTTTCATCAAGGATCTCTCTGTACTTTGCTCTGTTCATCTTTCCCTCGATCCTGACTAGTCTCCCAATCCCTTTCGCTGATAAACATCCCCACAGCATGATGCTGCCACCACCATGCTTCACCGTAGGGTGGTGCCAGGTTTCCTCCAGACGTGACGCTTGGCATTCAGGCCGAAGAGTTCAATCTTGGTTTCATCAGACCAGAGAATCTTGTTTCTCATGGTCTAAGAGTCCTTTAGGTGCCTTTTGGCAAACTCCAAGTGGGCTGTCATGTGCCTTTTGCTGAGGAGTGACTTCCGTCTGGCCACTCTACCATAAAGGCCTGATTGGTGGAGTGCTGCAGAGATAGTTGTCCTTCTGGAAGGTTCTCCCATCTCCACAGAGGAACTCTGGAGCTCTGTCAGAGTGACCATCGGGTTCTGACCAAGGCCCTTTTGCCCGATTGCTCAGTTTGGCCAGGCGGCCAGCGCTAGGAAGAATCTTGGTGGTTCCAAACTTCTTCCATTTAAGAATGATAGAGGTCACTGTGTTCTTGGGGACCTTCAACACTGCAGACATTTTCTGGTACTCTTCCTCAGATCTGTGCTTTGACATAATCCTGTCTCGGAGCTCTATGGATAATTCCTTCGACCTCATGGCTTGGTTTTTGCTATGACAGGCACTGTCAACTGTGGGACCTTATATAGACAGGTGTGCCTTTACAAATCATGTCCAATAAATGTAATTTACTACAGGTGGACTCCAATCAAGTTGTAGAAACATCTCAAGGATGATTAATGGAAACAGGATGCACCTGAGCTCAATTTCGAGTTTCTTAGCAAAGGGTCTGAATACTTATGTAAATAAGGTATTTTTGTTTTTCATCTTTTATAGATGTTTTCGCTTTGTCATTATGGGGTATTGTGTGTAGATTGATGATGAAAAAAAAATATTTTCATACATTTTCAAATAAGGCTGTAACATAATGTGGAAAAAGGGAAGGGGTCTGAATTCTAATGTGCTGTACTTTCTCGTGTTCGTCTTATTTCAATTTCTTGTGTGTTTTTGTTCTATTTGACTTTTTGTTATTTATTTTTTATAGTACTACTGATATTGATTACTGCATTGTTGGGAAAGAGCAAGCAAGAAATTCATTTCACTGTTCTTGTGCACACAAGACCATGTCATTTGAAACATTGTTGTTTTGTCACAAGGCTTCAATAAAAGGTCACATTCAGGAGCAGTGAACAGTGAGCTTTCTTTTCAAGGTCCCTGTTTGCATCAGTTGCAAGGTGGGTTTAAGACAGACTTTCGGTTGTATTCACCATGACATTGGTGAAAAAAATGAAATTCCCTTAAATTGGGGAATCCAATCAGTTTTCCATGTTGATTCAATGTCATCACATATAATTATTTTGTTGAAATGAAATGGAAACAACATTGATTCAACAATTTTTTGAACAGTGGGTCTCCTCAGTTCAAACAGACAGTGGAGAAAGTCAACAGTGTCCAGAACAGCAGCCAGCTCTACCATGGATCTAAACCTGGCCCAGGGAGGGAGAGAGAGGGGAGAACAGCAGACAGCTCTACCATGGATCTAAACCTGGCCCAGAGAGGGGAGAACAGCAGACATCTCTACCATGGATCTAAACCTGGCCCAGGGAGGGAGAGAGAGGGGAGAACAGCAGACAGCTCTACCATGGATCTAAACCTGGCCCAGGGAGGGAGAGAGAGGGGAGAACAGCAGACAGCTCTACCATGGATCTAAACCTGGCCCAGAGAGGGGAGAACAGCAGACAGCTCTACCATGGATCTAAACCTGGCCCAGGGAGGGAGAGAGAGGGGAGAACAGCAGACAGCTCTACCATGGATCTAAACCTGGCCCAGGGAGGGAGAGAGAGGGGAGAACAGCAGACAGCTCTACCATGGATCTAAACCTGGCCCAGGGAGGGAGAGAGAGGGGAGAACAGCAGACAGCTCTACCATGGATCTAAACCTGGCCCAGGGAGGGAGAGAGAGGGGAGAACAGCAGACAGCTCTACCATGGATCTAAACCTGGCCCAGGGAGGGAGAGAGAGGGGAGAACAGCAGACAGCTCTACCATGGATCTAAACCTGGCCCAGGGAGGGGGAGAGGGGAAAAGAAAGACGGAGAGGCTGTCACTGACATCTGACAGAACCCTTCCCCCTCTCTCTCTCCCTCTAGCTCTCTCTCTCTCTCTCTTTGGGCTGGATTCAATCCGTATCGCGGAAGTATCACAGAAAATCTGTGTCAAAATGTAAAGTTAATTTCCGATTGAGCCGACATATGCAGCATTTACCGTGAATGCAGTCTCTGCAAATGCGAGAACATTGCCTTTAAATTTCAAACAAGCTATAACACGGATCTTCCGCAATACTTCTTCAATACGGATTGAATTCAGCCCTTTCTCTCTCTTGCTGACTCTCTCTGTCTATGTTGTCACGAGCTAGGGGTCAGTGTGGGGGAGGAGCTAGGGGTCAGCATGGTGGAGTGATTTTTAAAAAGGGCCTGTGAGGTGATTTCTGACCACTGTCGTCTTTGTCTGGAACTGGGAATTAAAATAATCTCCTTCCCCCCTCAAAAAAAAAAAAAAAAAACCTTGGTCCTGGACAGGTCATTTCTGGTGGTGGTGGTACCAGAGAGTGAGAGGTACGGTTTACATGAAGGCGGATTTTGAGATGTGAGGTTGTTTGGTTTTGTAACACCTTGACCCCTTCCCTAGATCCCTCTTCCCCATCAAACAAACGTATTTGAGAAGAAACCTCTGGGGCACGGAGAGATAGTAATCTGCCTGTGGACAAGTGGCCGTGGCTAATCCGCAAACAAAACACCAGGGGGTCCCACACTCTGAGTGGGTGGAACCGAGCTACGAGAGTTAGCACGCTACGTAGAAACATGTTAAGCACTAACTTTGGTATTTAATTCAGAGATTCATTCAAACACATGATTTTGGGCTTTTCTTGAGATTGTTTGCGACCTCATATTGTGTCCATTCATTTGCTCGCCTCAATGGAGTTTCTCATCAGTGAGCTCACTCTTGGCTAGCCTATCTCTGCATGCATGCATGATTTGACATGGACCCCTGCCTTCGCTTCTGAACTATAAACTGGAGAACTGTGAAACAGTGGACTAAACTCCTGTGCAGGTTTCAGTTTTCCTCAATGAAACTTATTTTCCTCAATGAAACTTGCAGTGCATTTCAGCATTTGTTTCAGTGATACACCTTGATTTCATGGAAAGTATTTTCACTCTAATCACTAATATCTTGAGCTTTGTGTCAATAATACAACATTTTCATCAAGCTCCTGATTTTAATGAGCCCCAGATAAGATATTCATTCAACTGGGTTCCACGTCGTCAAAGCAAAAGATGTTGCTCAAAGTGATTAGCCTCAAATTCTAATCTTTTTTTGAGGCCCTCCGATAATGCCCTGGAAATTAGTCTGAGGGCCCGTTGTCATGGTTATGAGCAACAATGAATGCGTAGTCGCCTACCAACCCCCGCTCTTTCTGTTTCAGACTCCCGTCAGTTGGGGGTGCATGGGGCAAAATGAGCATAAAGCAGCCAAGCTCCACCCTGAGAACCACTCCTGGGGTGCAATCAGTCCAAACAGTTGCAAAATGGAACGTTTTGCAACTAAAACAAGAGTTTATATTGGACAAATTCAGATAGGTCCCTCCCCGTTTCATTCCGTTTAAGAAACGTTTTGCAACAGAATCGGCGTAATGAATGCGCCCTGCCCCTGTAACATCGAGCAGCATCTCTCAAAACAGGGAGACGAGGGGGAATTCTTCAGGCCACTTGTTGTAAAGAGTTGGTGGTACTAGCGTCAGTTGAAACCAAGGGGAAAAAGGGGAATTCTTTAAAACAATTATTTTGAAGAGTTCGGACTAGGGTTCCATGCAAACCAATGCCAAGGAGAGTCAAAAACCAAAGGCACAGTGGATTTGTGACAACAGGGGAACACAAAGCTCATCCGACTTTAAAGACAAATTGAGACTGACTGATTTACAAATCACCTTGCATCCTAAATAACTACTCTGTCACAATTTACCCATGATACATCACTGTTTCGATGCTCTTGAACACGGACAATGTTTAGAAACTGTGGGAAATATAATTTGTGTTTCTTGTGACGTAGAATATCATTCATATTTGGGAATAAATTAATTTAAAGCAGAATAGTAAAGCAACTGCATGTGTCGAAACGTATGAAAAAATATTAAAATAAATTATTACTTTGCAATTTAGAAATTAATTAGTTAACTTTTTCTGTTGGAGCTTCTGATTAAAATACTTCAGAAATGTGTTGTGGGGCATTAAGATGTTTACTCGCTTCCTTCAATAATCTTTCCACGCAACCTGTTGCTTTCAGGAAAGGGGATTACGAGCCGCCCACAACAACTGGCAAGTGGCGCACTTGTTCCTCTGTAAGGGCTTACACCCCTGCCATACCTTCTCTTCACATTCAAAATCTTCTCCAACTTAAAGAGGCAATCTGTGATTGCTACATCCATTTTAGGACTTTTAAATTAATAATATATAACCATTGATTCTTAAAGAATATAACTTATAAATGCCTCATGAGCTTAGTTATACTGTTGTACCCCATCAGAACCCAAAATATAAGCTTGTTTTACTTCAATGCTTGTAAACAATGTAAATGTAAACAAACACTGTACAGCCTCAAAACATGGTTAAAACTATCATTTTTATATAATGGATGGTCAGTCCCTGGATCCAGACAGTTTTGTCTATGAATTTGAGAGTGGTTACATTTCTCCAGTCTTATTCCTCAACTGACTTTGTTATTGTTTGAACTGCATATTGGCACTTTAAAGAAAGCGCTACAGGATGTCATTTTTGCACTATGATACATTCACACCCTGTCCCGTAGCATCATGTCGATCACTTGCAATGAGAGACTTACCCCATTTGAACATCATCATGGTCAACAGCACTGTTTTGAGATTCAAACGAATTTTCCCAAACTCCATGGTGAATCAAGTGACCCGGGACTTAAAGAAGCAAAAAAATAATACAATGTTTTCACTTTAATAGCACCCGTCTTGGTATTCTGGAGTTAGCAGAGTTAGTGAGTCTCTTGTTGTTGCCCTGTTCTGCTGTTGGCATGCTACTGGCTGCCCATGCTTTGTTGGTAATGAGAGCAACATTAGCCTGAAGAGACAGCCTGGCCAGAGTGAGAGAGTGTATTCAGCCGGTAGGAGAGGGAGGTAGGAGAGGGAGGGGGCTGGAAAACAAGGCACGGATCAGTAAACATGGGGTGGATTCGTCTCATCTCCCCCTCTTACCCCACCTTACTATATCCCTCCTCATTTGTTATGAACAGCTACTGGGGTTAACCCTATTCATGGAAGGAGATATCAATTGCAACTGGTCATGATTACCAGTGTTAAAGCTTATTCTTTAATGTGTTGCCTACAACATCATGGCACGGTTAATGCAACAGTCCCTGACAGTTTTCAGTCATTGGGCACTACATTTGTAATTTTAAAAAATACCTAACATCCCTTTCATACATTCAATTCAAATTCCATATCCAATTCAAATACCTAATTAACTGGAATAAAATACCACATAGCAAATAGTTTAACTCTAACCTAGTCCTCATCAGTGGTCACTCCAAATATATGAGTCTGCATGGCTAATACCATGCCAAATTTCTTAATGGCCGCATACAATGGTACATCCATCCAATCCAGGGGGGATACATTTAGCATTTTTAGCCTGACTTGACCTTCTGGAGTTGTATTAGAGGGAGCAGTCCAGTCCAGGTTTGACCCTCAGAGTTGTATTAGTAGGGGTGAACACGGTCCAGGTTTTAGCCACTAGGTCATTAGCGTCCTCAGCAGATTGATGGCTCCTTTGTGAACATTGGGCTTATCGCTCAGCCGTACAACACCTAGCGGGGACTACAGAGAGGAATGTTATGTGTGTAAGAGTGTGTGTAAATGTACATTTATACAGTTGAAGTCGGAAGTTTACATACACTTAGGTTTGAGTCATTAAAACTCATTTTTTCAACCACTCCACACATTTCTTGTTAACAAACTATAGTTTTGGCAAGTCGGTTAGGACATCTACTTTGTGCATGACACAAGTAATTTTTCCAACAATTGTTTACAGACAGATTATTTCACTTATAATTCACTGTATCACAATTCCAGTGGGTCAGAAGTTTACATACACTAAGTTGACTGTGCCTTTAAACAGCTTGGAAAATTCCAGAAAATGATGTCATGGCTTTAGAAGTTTCTGATAGGCTAATTGACATCATTTGAGTCAATTAGAGGTGTACCTGTGGATGTATTTCAAGGACTACCTTCAAACTCAGTGCCTCTTTGCTTGACATCATGGGAAAATCAAAAGAAATCAGCCAAGACTGAAATTGTAGTCCTCCACAAGTCTGGTTCATCCTTGGGAGCAATTTCCAAACACCTGAAGGTACAACGTTCATCTGTACAAACAATAGTACGCAAGTATAAACACCATGGGACCACGCAGCCGTCATACCGCTCAGGAAGGAGACGTGTTCTGTCTCCTAGAGATGAACGTACTTTGGTGCGAAAAGCGCAAATCAATCCCAGAACAACAGCAAAGGACCTTGTGAAGATGCTGGAGGAAACAGGTACAAATGTATCTATATCCACAGTAAAACAAGTCCTATATCGACATAACCTGAAAGGCCGCTCAGCAAGGAAGAAGCCACTGCTCCAAAACCGCCATAAAAAAGCCAGACTACGGTTTGCAACTGCACATGGGGACCAAGATCGTACTTTTTGGAGAAATAGCCTCTGGTCTGATGAAACGAAAATAGAACTGTTTGGCCATAATGACCATCGTTATGTTTGGAGGAAAAAGGGGAACGCTTGCAAGCCGAAGAACACCATCCCAACCGTGAAGCACGGGGGTGTCACGACTTCCGCCGAGGCTGCCTCCCCTCCTTGTTTGGGCAGGTTTCGGCGTTCGTCGTCACCGGCTTACTAGCTACTGCCGCTCCCATTCTCATCACTCCACTTGTCTTGTCAATCACACACACCTGGTGCTCATCCCCTAATTAGTCTGTGTATAAGTGTTCCCTCTGCCCCTTGTCTTTGTGAGTGATTGTTCTATGTGGGAGGAGAGTAGCTCGGTTGAGATACTCTCTCATTTATTTTGCCAGGGTTGATTTTCCCCTGTGTCATTACATTTATTCTATTTTCTGAGACTGTGTTTGGTCAGGGAGGATTGTTTCCCCTGTACCTGTTTCGATTGCCGTTGTAGGTGCATTGTATGTCTGGAAGGAATAAATCTGCATCCGGTTATTTTACTCCTGCGCCTGACTCCGTCCATCATTCACCACAGGGGGTGGCAGCATCATGCTGTGGGGGTGCTTTGCTGCAGGAGGGACTGGTGCACTTCACAAAATAGATGGCATCATGAGGAAGGAAAATTATGTGGATATATTGAAGCAACATCTCAAGACATCAGTCAGGAAGTTAAAGCTGGGTCGCAAACGGGTCTTCCAAATGGACAATGACCCCAAGCATACTTCCAAAGTTGTGTTAAAATGGCTTAAGGACAACAGTCAAGGTATTAGAGTGGCCATCACAAAGTCCTGACCTCAATCCTATAGAACATTTGTGGGCAGAACTGAAAAAGCGTGTGCGAGCAAGGAGGCCTACAAACCTGACTCAGTTACACCAGCTCTGTCAGGAGGAATGGGCCAACTTATTGTGGGAAGCTTGTGGAAGGCTACCCGAAATGTTTGACCCAAGTTAAACAATTTAAAGGCAATGCTACCAAATACTAATTGAGTGTATGTAAACTTCTGACCCACTGGGAATGTGATGAAAGAAATAAAAGCTGAAAGAAATAATTCTCTCTACTATTATTTTGACATTTCACATTCTTAAAATAAAGTGGTGATCCTAACTGACCTAAAACAGGGAATTTTTACTAGGATTACATGTCAGGAATTGTGAAAAACTGAGTTTAAATGTATTTGGCTAAGGTGTATGTAAACTTATGACTTCAACTGTAGGTGCAATACGCAGAAATTGCTCCGCCATTTCCTGGTTGCTAAAATTCTAATAGTTTGCCTAATTTCAGTTGATGATGGTACAACCTAGAGAATCATTGTACCATCTAAACTGTTGTGAAATATCCTTTCAATAACCAAAAATATGGTATTTTCAGGTGTTTGAAGCTGGTGTACAAAAACGTTTGTTTTTGTACAGCAAACTGTTTCTGTGTGTGAGTGCAGGTACTGTACATTAGTGTGTTTCTGTATATACTGCATGTACAGTACGTGTGCATGCCTTCATGTGTGTGTATACGTTTGTGCATGCGTGTCTGAGTGTGTGTTTGCATGTCATAGCCCAGGGCACAAGACAGACAGCAGCCAATCTTGTCCAGAAAGCCTAAAGACACGGAAAAGGCCAGACTTAAGGGATAAACTCGACCCCAGCTGCCCCCCTTCCTGACAGACAGACCATGGTCCCAGGATAAGCAGCCCCACATCCATACTGTAGGCTATATAAGGGGCCCTTCGAAATCACTTAACAGATGCTGAAGAATAGGGGGTACAGATATTGAGGAATAGGGGGTACAGATATTGAGGAAGAGAGGGTATAGATATTGACTGAGCATACAATAGTGGTAACTTTGCTTTGGCTTGGACTAGTATCTTCTTTTAAGGGTTTTAGGTCAATTCCCATCTCAACTCAATTGAAATCAGGAATTGAAAATGAATGGGAAAATGTCCTATTGTTGCAAGGGGGAGGACATTCTGTCTATTGCCCATCTCTTGAATCACGTACTTTAAGTTATTTGAATGTTTACAATGTAATCTTTTCAGGATCCCTTTTTCGGCAGATTTCACGGGACATCCTTACTATAACCAACATGGTGTTTTTCTGGATCTTGGAATGCAGCGTGTGCTGAAGCATGATATGACACATGCCTGCAGCTCATCAGGGAGGAGGTTGTTGTTGGTTGTTTTCTTGAGGCGTCCTTGAAAAGACAGTCTTATCACAACCAGATAGCCAGGATGAACGTCTGATGGCTAAATCACAGGAGGAGTGAGTAAGTAACCAAAAGTCAAGTGTTACCCCTCCTGACCGAGATTGAAACCAAAGTGTGGTATCGCTGTCAATTTAGCAACACGTGTGGAGACACACGCGTACAAGTGCATAGCAAACTGGGATACAAAATAAGTCACCCTTACCACAAGAGGAATTTTCTCTTGGTCTAATGGTCAAGATGTTGGTTTCTCCCATGGGAGACCTGGGTTTAGATCCCACCCGTGACACACACAGGCCACACAAACACTAGAGCTGAGCGATTACCTGAAATGTCCGTTATTTTTCAGGGGTTTGTGAGCTCCAGGGGTTTTCTGTGAGCTCAATGCACACATTGTGTAGTTTCTCTAGAGATAAATCAGATCAAGCCCGAACTGTGCGATATAGTAGGGAGTTGTAGTTTCCAACAGGCCAATATTCTACATAGTTAAGTGCCGAAAACGTGGAAATTAACTACAATTACCATAATCCTTTGCGGGTCTACTTGTCCAGACTGTGTTTCTTGTGCGATCGAGAGAGATAGAGAGCAGTTGCTTTGTGAGGTATTATATTTCTACCTGAATACACATGATCTAAGTCAGGGTTTCCCAAACTCTGTCCTGGGCCCCCCTGGGTGCACGTTTTGGTTTTTGCCCTAGCACTACAAAGTTGATTCAAATAATCAACTCATCATCAAGCTTTGATTATTTGATTCAGCTGTGTAGCGCTAGGGCATAAAACAAAACGTCACCCAGGGGGGGCCCAGGACCGAGTTTGGGAAACCCTGATCTAATTGAGAGTTGGTATTCAGCGGTCATAAAAGTATGCTTTATTTACTTTGAAGAACTACTAAAATAGTGGTTTTGTCAAACCGCATAGGCAGCAGCTCTATAGAGATGAGATGATGACTTATTGAAATAATAAAGTCATCAAATAAAACCAATGTAATATACGCAACAACTTAAAGTGCCTTTAATGTTAAAAAATAATAATTGAAACCGAAATCGAAAAAATTGTGATAATTTTTTTAGAATCTAACCGAAACCGAACTGACCTCAAAAAGGACTAATCGCTTAGAACTAACACACACACACACACACACACACACACACACACACACACACACACACACACACACACACACACACACTACATTCATGTGTAGTTGAGCTGGGCGATATCGACAAAAATCCATATGGTGCTAAATTGCCTGAATTGATGTGATAATGATAACTAGAAGGATAGCTTTATAACATTAATCTGCACCACAGTTAAGTTGTATTACCCTTTAAACTACTACTACTGGTTTGATGTTTGTAGCCACCAATTGTCCCTTTAACAATCACCCTTGACATTTCTCTAGTGTAGGCTGCTTATCGTAATGAACGATATCAGCAAAGTGCCTGCGATGTATGGTCGATTGTCGATCATTTCCGGTTTATCCTCCCAGCTCTACTGTGGAGTATTTACACCACTTCATTCATAGATAACACACTAGGTTAAGACTGTTTATTCACATTTTTATGAAACCTGAGACTATAAGAAGAAGATGCCATGTGGCAATTTTAATCATGCTGTCAAGCTCTCCCCCTTAAACTCATCTGTCCTCAGTATTTCATCAGATATGCCAAGTCAACAAGATAACAAATGGAAGAGCTACACAGAGAACTCAAAGGGGAGTCACTCCCTCACTGACCAGGAGTGATAACCTGAATGGCCAAAAATGGGAGGTGCCGGTAACGAGAGTCAATCCGGCCACAACAACATCAATACAGCTTAGGCTTCCTAAAAACAGTTGAAATCTGTTTGCCCTTTATGAAGCATAAAGTCAGAGTCATAAACGTCTAAAGACAATGAGCCAGAGAGTCTCTTCCCCCAACAATCCCCGCATGTTTAAATAGTATGAGGGCAGATACAGTACACAAACAAAGCCCTCGTCTGGATGTGACTGACTGGGTTCGAACCTGGGTTGCCACAAGAATGTGTTTGCCTGCTGAGTTTAATGCCTAGGGGTGACATTTTCGTAGTGCAAAATCAACGTGAAATGTGCAAAAAATGCCGTAAACCTCATTATAATCTCACAGTGTGATTTACCTTCTTCAAAGATGTCGTTAGGAGGCGATTACAGCTTACTGAGCGATACATAGTTGCCTCTTCATAACACACATTGTTGAACAATTTTGCATGGTGAAAATGTCAACCAATGCATTAGCTAGCTCAGGGAGCTAATGTAAGTCTTCAGGTCGCAAGTATTTTGGTTCAGCGAGCTGCCCATGCTACAAAGACTCTGCAGAGGCACTTCTGAGTTCCTCTACTAATCTTGGGAGAGTAAATTAGACACAAAAATACATATCCAAACTCTTCACCTTGTTGGCTTGTGACCTTTTTGCCAGAAGAGTTTGGGGGAGAGCACTCAGGGCCAGGTAATTGGACAGTAATGGGGAGGGGACATATTTTATAGAGGGGAAGAGGTGGGGGTGAATTCCAGTTCAACAATCGATTAACATAATATACAGCCTGGAGGTCCCCTGTAGCTCAGTTGGTAGAGCATGGCGCTTGCAACGCCAGGGTTGTGGGTTCGTTTCTCACGGGGGGCCAGTATGAAAAATGTATGCACTCACTAACTGTAAGTCGCTCTGGATAAGAGCGTCTACTAAATGACTAAAATGTCAAATGTAATTGTCCTGTTGAAAAACAAATGATAGTCTCACTAAGCCCAAACCAGATGGGATGGTGTATCGCTGCAGAATGCTGTGGTAGCCATGCTGGTTAAGTGTGCATTGAATTCTAAATAAATCACAGACAGTGTCACCAGCAAAGCACCCCCACATCATAACACCTCCTCCTCCATGCTTTACGGTGGGAACTACACATGCGGAGATCATCCGTTCACCCACACTGCGTCTCACAAAGACACGGCGGTTGTAACCAAAAATCTCAAATTTGGACTCCAGATCACAGGACACATTTCCACCGGTCTAATGTCCATTGCTCGTGTTTCTTGGCCCAAGCAGGTCTGTTCTTCTAATTGGTGTCCTTTAGTAGTGGTTTCTTTGCAACAATTCGACCATGAAGACCTGATTCACACAGTCCCCTCTGAACAGTTGATGTTGAGATGTGTCTGTTACTTGAACTCTGTGAAGCATTTATTTGGGCTGCAATTTCTGAGGCTGATAACTCTAATGAACTTATCCTCTGCAGCAGAGGTAACTCTGGGTCTTCCATTGCTGTGGCGGTCCTCATGAGAGCCAGTTTCATCATAGCGCTTGATGGTTTTTGCGACTGCACTTGAAGAAACTTTTAAAGTTCTTGAAATGTTCCGTATTGACTGACATTCATGTCTTAAAGTAATGATGGACTGTTGTTTCTCTTTGCTTATTTGAGCTGTTCTTGCCATAATATGGACTTGGTCTTTTACCAAATAGGGCTATCTTCTGTATTCCCCCCTACCTTGTCACAACACAATTATTGGCTCAAACGCATTAAGAAGGAAAGAAATTCCACAAATTAACTTTAAAGAAGGCACACCTGTTAATTGAAATGCATTCCAGGTGATTGATAGAAGAATTTATATGTGTAAAGTAATGACTAAAGTGTTTCCACCCCGATACTGTATAAATGTGTAAACTGTGTTAGAGTTATAAGACAATAAAACCACTAACAGGGAAGATGGGTAGAAACTGTTGGAGGCCAACATTCCATAGTAAGGGGGACCTAGAAACTGCTGAAAGAAACATTCTATACTGTGGAAAGTCACAGGCCGCCTAAAGGTGGGCGGAGCAAAGTTCCTTTGTGTGAATGCATATAAAAAGGCTGTGTGTGTTTTTAGCGCCAGAGCTCTCATGAATAAAAAGACGGACCTATTGCAGAACGGGACTTTGTTTAATTCATTTTTAAACCAGAGCCTTACAATTATTCAAAGCTTGCAACCATTGAGATAACAACATTCTCGTGACAGTGACTACCTCATGAAGCTGGTTGAGAGAATGCCAAGAGTGTGCAAAACTGTCATCAAGGCAAAGGGTGGCTATTTGAAGTATCTCAAATGTAAAATATATTAAGATTTGTTTAACACTTTTTTGGTTACTACATGATTCCATATGTGTTATTTCATATTTTTGATGTCTTCACTATTATTCTACAATGTAATTTTATTTACAAAAAAGAAAAACCCTTGATGAGTAGATGTGTCCAAACTTTCGACTGGCAGTGCATATATAAATAATTGAATTGACTTCGACTCCCAACATGGCTGCCATTCGTTCCAGTGAGTTAACAGAACCATCCAGCCATCGTCTCAGTGACTGAAGTCCATACAGTATGTCACCTCAGGCATTGTGTAATCCTAAAACAGCACTTCCCTTACAGTACAGTAGAGCAGCGAGAGCTCCCAGCGTTTTGGCCCAGATCTCACCCCCTGGGAGCCGCCAGAACTGGGCTTTGCCTGTCTGACCACTGGGCCGTTTACGGGCTATTGACCGGCTTATGCTGATTTAATCAGAGGTGCAATAAAGCCATTCAACTGGCGTCCATTTAGATGCGTTACTGGGGCCGTTAAAGGAACCGCTTCAATGAGAGCCCTCAGAGCCGTCATGGAGGCAGAGTTGACAGACTGACGAACAGCAGTGAACATTGCGACTGTGGTACGGCTTGGTCCTGGGTGGTGACGGCAGGTTGCTATTGAATAAATACTGTCAGAGCTCTGAAAAGGGGTTGTTTCGTCTGTTTTATTGCATAACAGCAGTCACAAGTACGGTGGCCCTAAGGGGCTAAGTAGCTTTTCAAATTTAAAGACTGTGCTCGCCGTACACACAAAGCAAGTGCCTGATGTTTCTCTAAGCTTGATAATTCGGTTCTTCAACCTTTCTCCAAGCTTTATTGTTAGTGCTGGCCATCATTGTTTCTCTGAAATTTGATTACTTCTTGACAGTCAAAGTCGTGTCTATGTCCGGGATTCAATCCGATCACGTGTTGTAGCGCGCTTGACACCACAAGGCAATTTCTGGTTGAGCCGACATTTGCAGCGTTTACTGTGAATGCGATCTCTACGAACACGGGAACATTGCCTTTTTAAAAGGGGCATTGTTGAAAACGCGTGATCGGATTGAATCCAGCCATATATTATTCTGTTCAGAGATGAAGGCGTCACATTTTTCGATACGATTGCTATTACAGTGTTACTCATTACTCAGATACAAAACCCAATGATGCAACAGGACAATCAGTTGTGGGAACAGTTGTGGGAACAACTAGAATGTCTGCAAAGACATGATGGAACATTTGAGAGCCCAGGCTGGCACAGACAACTCCAGTCATAGGAACTTTCTCAGAAAGATTAGCCTGGCTCCAGATCTGATTGTGCTTTGGCTTCCTCTCTGCCTGTCGTGTTCCCATTATCATGACAGCAATAGTTAGTCGAAGGACTTGGCTGAAGGCAAGCACATCCAAATCTGGGACCAAGCTACTGAAGGATATCTTTAGACTGCCCTTAATCTGTAATGGAGATTGTAATGGAGTGTTTAAGTTGGGCCAGGGGAAACATAGTGATATTGATAGGGGTGTAAATTGGACCATATTGCTGTCCTGCATAAGCATTCTAAATGTAACGAGTACTTTTGGGTGTCAGGGAAAATGTATGGGAGTAAAAAGTACATATTTTCATTAGGAATGTAGTGGAGTAAAAGTAAAAGTTGTCAAAAATTAGTACAGATATATTTTAAAAAACGACTTCAGAAGTACTTTAAAGTATTTTTTAACTTAAGTACTTTACACCACTGATCATTTTTTATGTTAGCCATACCTATGTATTTCAGTGTCTATGACTGCAATGTGGGTATTAAAAGGCTTGAACTTGAAACTTGAACTTGAATTAGATATATCATAAGAATAAACATAAATGAGCTCCTCTCATGATGTTAAACACTTCCTCTCTTCTCTTTCTTGCAGGCTGATTTACAGCATGCTTTATTCACTCCACTTTATAAGCGGTAAAGCTGGGCCAGGTCAAGGCCATGTCATGTCCAGGTCAGGGCCAGGTCAGGGCCAGGTCAGGGCCAGGTCAGGGCCAGGTCACGGCCAGGTCACGGCCAGGTCAGGGCCAGGTCACGGCCAGGTCAGGGCCAGGTCACGGCCAGGTCAGGGCCAGGTCAGGGCCAGGTCACGGCCAGGTCAGAGAGCACAGGGCATTAATAATATAAGAAAAAGGTGACAGCCTTACAAAGATCCTTTAGGGTCAAAACTTTGCTAATGCAACTACAGGAGCATCTAAACAGGTATTTTGGTAGCTCTTTATTTTACACATACTTTTCCGTTGGCATTTGTTGTACCCTGTAGCTGTGGACATTTGTTGGATAAACATACTCATCTTTTGAACAGCCATCATCTTAATGAGACTTGACAATATGGCTGCTTAAAATATGCAATAATAGATACAATCTTTTATTCCAATGTTTGTCATTGCCAAATGTCGAGAGAGTGACGTCAGTTGTCATACATATGGTTAGCTGCCATTGCATTACAAGTTGTTCATCATGTTGTTCTTTCTGTAGACTTCATGTCAGTCTTAGTAAAGTTCTGTTGACTTCCCGCTTCTGAGAGGCAATGCATTCCAGGAACACAGTATCTGTCTATCTGTGTGATCTGTGGGTTTGTGTCAGGCCTTCCCTGACATATCAGCATTGCTTACACTCATTGGTAGGCCAAAGGCAGTTGAACCTTCTCACTGTGCTCTTATCTGCCACAGCAACTCATACTAGTAGGTCAAGGACAGGTCACAGGTAGGTGAAGGACAGGTTACCGGTAGGTGGCTGTACTGAAACGTGCTTGATCAGCACAGTGTATTTCCTTCCAAATGCAGCTATACAATATTATACCTTTAGAGTTAATTGCAATAAACATAATCATGAGATACATTCTGGAGATGAATTGGATATTTAAAACTCAAGCCTCGAGTTAATCTTACAGGGAAATTTCACCGCTGCTCTTTCACTGTATTGAATTTTACATTATTTTATTTTTTAAAACATTTTTAGTAATTTAGCAGACGCTCTTATCCAGAGCGACTTACAGTTAGTGAGTGCATACATTTTTCATACTGCCCCCCCCCCCATGGGAAACTAACCCACAACCCTGGCGTTGCAAGCGCCATGCTCTACCAACTGAGCTACAGGGGACTATGAATTGAATTATAAATGTCCATTAATATGTTGTAGTGTCGAGTCAATGCTGGCAATTATTGCTGTGAAACAAAGGAGTCCGCTCATACTGAACCCTTGATCATACGTTTTATTCATATCACAAGATTCCAGCATAAGTTTTACAGATGTCATGACCACCCGGAGAGCGGCGTCCCAGATTGCAATGGCCGCTCTAACCTCTTCTTCGTTTTTACCCAGTATATATAATCTTCCCAAGATATGGGTGGCTCCCTCTACTGTCCAATCCCCTGTCTACAACACACACTTCCTGTCTTTTGTATGTGGCGTCACACTAAAAACGGCTCTCTTTCTGCCAAATAAACATCCTCTCAGATTCCACTTAAAAACATTAACAAAGTCATAATCTTCATATACGACAATGTTATTAACATATAATGTGTCATAAGAATCAATAATTTCCTCACAACGCGCAAATACGAGCGTTTCTGCATCTCACTGGTAGAAACGGGCCATCTACATTTCCTGATTGTAAACCACAATATCCAGAATTCATAGCGATGTCAGAACGTAGTACCACCCCTGTCGAGGTGGATCCAGTTGAGAAAGGGTGTCAACAGGTAGCTAACGTTACTCACTGGATCAGACAGTCGTTCATAGAACATCAGCTTGCGAATAACTATTTATTTTTATGCCGACAACAACTGTAAAGTTTAGTCATGCTGTGGTGCTCAGTACCTGGATGTGCAAACTACAAGCAAGCACAGGCTGCTGGGGTAACATTTAATCGGTTACCTTACTAAGAAGTCGAGCAGAGAGGCTTTGTGATGGCCACTCCAATACCTTTACTTTGTTGTCCTTAAGCCATTTTGCCACAACTTTGGAAGTATGCTTGGGGTCAATGTCCATTTGGAAGACCCATTTGCGACCCAGCTTTAACTTCCTGACTGATATCTTGAGATGTTGCTTCAATATATCCACATACTTTTCCTTCCTCATGATGCCATCTATTTTGTGAAGTGCACCAGTCCCTCCTGTAGCAGAGCACCCCCACAGCATGATGCTGCCACCCCTGTGCTTCACGGTTGGGATGGTGTTCTTCGGCTTGCAAGCATCCCCCTTTTTCCTCCAAACATAACGATGGTCATTATGGCCAAACAGTTCTATTTTTGATTCATCAGACCAGAGGACATTTCTCCAAAAAGTACGATCTTGGTCCCCATGTCAGTTGCAAACCGTACTCTGGCTTTTTTATGGCAGTTTTGGAGCAGTGGCTTCTTCCTTGCTGAGCGGCCTTTCAGGTTATGTCGATATAGGACTAGTTTTACTGTGGATATAGATACTTTTGTACCTGTTTCCGCCAGCATCTTCACAAGGTCCTTTGCTGTTGTACTGGGATTGATTTGTACGTTAATCTCTAGGAGACTGAACGCGTCTCCTTCCTGAGCCGTATGACGGCTGCGTGGTCAAATGATGTTTATACTTGCGTACTATTGTTTGTACAGATGAACGTGTAACCTTCAGGCGTTTGGAAATTGCTCCCAAGGATGAACCAGACTTGTGGAGGTCTACAATTCTTTTTTCTGAGGTCTTGACTGATTTCTTTTGATTTTCCTATGATGTCAAGCAAAGAGACACAGAGTTTGAAGGTAGGCCTTGAAATACATCCACAGGTACACCTCTAATTGACTCAAATGATGTCAATTAGCCTATCAGAAGCTTCTAAAGTCATGACATCATTTTCTGGAATTTTCCAAGCTGTTTAAAGGCACAGTAAACTTAGTGTATATAAACTTCTGACCCACTGGAATTGTGATACAGTGATCTATAAGTGAAATAATCTGTCTTTAAACAATTGTTGGAAAAATTACTTGTGTCATGCACAACCGGCTTGACAAAACTATAGTTTGTTAACAAGAAGTTTGTGGAGTGGTTGAAAAACGAGTTTTAATGATTCCAACATAAGTGTATGTAAACTTCTGACTTCAACTGTAACTGTTAGCTAGCTAACTAACTACCACAGAGGCTAACGAGAATGGCCTATGTGTTCTATTTACAGAGTCCGATCCCATAAAGATCTACAGCGGCATCAACATCAAGCTCAGCACCAGGAACTAGTAGTGATGGGGGGAAAAATCAATAGTTACATATCGGGATATTATTTTTGACAATATCGCAATGTTATTTTTGCCCTAGTTGGCTGTACCTGAATCAAAATGCCAGCATTTTTCCTTCATAGCTTGTTCTCTATCTTCTTTTTAAATAGGGAGCCAATTTGTTTTCAGCACTTTTATTTCCATGACTGAACAAAACTCGTTTTCTCATGGCTCTCTCGTCCCTCTGCAGCAGACATATGATGAGCAATATGTTTGGAACATCAAATCGCAATACATATAGAATCGTGAGAATTGCAGTAAATATCACATTGGCACCTAAGTATCGTGATAATATCGTATCGTGAGGTCCCTGGCAATTTCCAGCTCTAGGAAGTAGTGTAAGTCACCTTTCCTAAATCTTTCAATGACTCCATGATGAGCAAATAAATATACTGGAGCTAGGCATAAACATGGTCTGTGTCTTGTTGTCATAGTTGGTGTGTTTATAAGTAGTCTAGCTACAACTTCTACTGTATTTTTGTCTGAGGCCAAGTTGATTGTTTATGAAAAGCTTGAAGTCTAAATTGGTGTCTGTTGGGGGTGGGTATTGTGTGTGAAGGTTCGTATGCATGATCTACTGACACGAGGGGGGTGGGTGGATATAGTACTTTGTTTGAGTGTGTATTAATAGGGACAAAGTAGTAAAATGTTGGCTAATCACTGACTACTGTGTGTCCTACAGACTAATCCTGCTGCTGCTGCTGATGACGTTGACACCAGCTTTAATAGTACAGATCCTGTTGACTCATTGGATGAAAGCTTTCAGCCAGGAACAAGCTCAACATCATCTGTCTCGGAAGAGGAAAAGACTGCACGGGGCTGGCAAGAACCAAAGTGTATAGTCTGAGTCTAAGGTCATGGAGCTCATGAAGTTCTGCCAGACCAGCTGCCATTGCCCAAAACAAGATGAGGCTCACCAGCTGAAGAACATTCAGGACCCTGCCTGGAACATTCAGCCAACACAACATCGATATTCAGTTAGACTGACTTTGTAGTATAATATAGAATGCGTAGTATGCTCAGAACTGCATTGTGGTATAGATATTGCTAGCTGTTTTACCTGCAGTGCCTTTCGGAAAGTTTACAGACCCCTTCACTTTTTCCACATTTTGATAGGTTACAGCCTTATTCTAAAATTGATTAAATTGTTTTTTTTTCCCTCATCAATTCCTTCGACCTCATGGCTTGGTTTTTGCTCTGACATGCACTGTCAGCTGTGGGACCTTATATAGACAGGTGTGTGCCTTTCCAAATCATGTCCAATCAATTGAATTTACCACAGGTGGACTCCAATCAAGTTGTAGAAACGTCTCAAGGATGATCAATGGAAACAGGATGCACCTGAGCTCAATTGCGTGTCTCATAGCAAAGGGTCTGAATACTTATGTAAATAAGGTATTTCTGTTTTTTCTGTTTAATAAATTGTAAAAAAAAAAAAATAATCTGTTTTCGCTTTGTTATTATGGGGTATTGTGTGTAGATTGCTGAGGATTATTATTTTTAAAATCAATTTTAGAATAAGGCTGTAACGTAACAAAATGTGGAAAAAGTCAAGGGGTCTGAATACTTTCCGAAGGCACTGTATGTATATAATGGTGTTTTATATCATTTTTACTTTTTTAAATTTTTTATACAAGTGACTGACTTGTGACTAAATGATTCCAGCTGCATCAGAACCAATAAAGTGTTGAATTCAACTTCTGGATCAATTCATTGTTATATTCATGAAATGTATTTGGAAGTAACTAGTTACAATCTTACTGCTACAAATGATGCAGGAAGTTGGTGCATCATTTAAACTTTAATTGGTTGGCAAGTAAATAAGTAGCAAATACTGTAAATAGACATGGATTGTATTCAAGACCAAGTTTATTTGCTCTGATTACCCGAGGTGAGTTTACACAGCAGTATGCAGGATCAGTTATGGCAATGTATGACATACAGTGGGGAAAAAGTATTTAGTCAGCCACCAATTGTGCAAGTTCTCCCACTTAAAAAGATGAGAGAGGCCTGTAATTTTCATCATAGGTGCA